GTGGATGAGACGTGATCAACCCATATCGAGGGCAGAGACGCTGAGACGTCTTCTCGAAATGGCTCTTGTGATTTCATCAAGCGTAAAGAAGCAAGTACCTTGCGAGGTGCGAGTCTCGAGACTCTTTGACTGAATATGGAGCCTCTTTGTGAGTCCTAACTAATCAGTCTTTGGGAAGAAGGCAAGAAGACGCAATTTTTCTGAGAGGCGCTCTTGCTGAGGTGATCCCAAGGCGTGCTGAAAAGCTTCGCATGGTTTCCGCACATGTGAAGTAGACAGGCAGCGTGTAAACCCTGTCCAACCGTCACAACTCTGCTGTCTACACGATCTGGTACGCCGTTTTCCCCATGATTGCCGGCATGGTTTTAATCGGGTTAGAGATCACCAGCTTGGTTCCGATCAGCGTTAGAGGTTGTCAGCTTGATTTCGATTGGCGTTAGCGATTGCCAGCTTGATTTTTTCGGAGTTAAGATTGCCAGCTTTGGTTCCAATCAGCATCAGAGGTTGCCAGCTTGATGTTGATCGTGGTTAGAGATTGCCAGCTTGGTTTCTTTCAGGGTTTGAGACGGCCAGCTTTATTTCGATCGGGGTTAGAGATGGTCATGGTTAGAGATTGCCAGCTTGGTTCCGGTCAGGCTTAAGGATTGTCAGCTTCACTCTGACCAGGTTAGAGCATGCCAATTTGGTTGTAATCAAGGTTCTCAAGAGAGCCCACAGATGGCCTTGGCTTAGGTGATAACGGCCCTTGAACAACATTGTCAAACCCTTTCATGGACCGGTGAGTTTGTCGAGAATCTACCATTGGGTCCGTGCTCAATGGTCTTTGATGGTCTTAGCTGCCCTTAACTTCTTTGCATCATTCTTGGCACGAAGCGCGCTGACCGATTTTTCTCCCTTCCTGTATTAAACGGCTGTTCATTTGACGGCGTCCCTGTCCGTCGCCAGATCTATCGATCTTATTGTCGAGCCGTTCTTTCCTCCTCGCAGGAACACGAGCAAAGTGCCTGCCAAGACCAACGTCGAAAAGTGGATTCTCGCATACGGTAAGCTGATCAGGATTCTGAGTTCTTTGCGTCGCCTTTCCCCCAGTTTCTTGATTCCGTGTTTGTGGCGTGATGTGTAATCGTGTCGAAATGCACTTGCGCGCGTATTGCAACGAAGTGCTTTTTCCTGAGGGCAGCTGTTCTGACGAGCGAGGCACGACTCCGGTTTTACTTCTCTTTCCGACGTTGAATGAAATCGACTGTCTACTTGCCACTGCAATCACTCCGAACCCCGCAAAGTTGTCTTGGATTGATCTCTGCTCTTTTGCAGATTGAGTCTCGCCTATGCGTCGAAAAGGCTTCATTGAGTTGCATCAGTACCCTAGGCTCATCTGAAACTGGGTTACTAAACCCGTTTTGAATCTGCTCCGCACCCCTGACTTTCAAATCAACCCTCGGGCATTAAATCAGTGACCATACTCGTAATCACAGAATAGACATGTCTCTTGCAGGTGCTTTTGGATTCTTTATGTTCTTCGGACACTTTAGTCTGTTTCCGAATCAGTCCCATGCTCTTGCAGGCGGTTGCTAGTATCGTGGCCGGCCTGGCGACGCAAGGGTACCAGACCCCATATTGGACACATAAGCTATCTTTTGCTCAAACCAGACGCGAATTTCGAACCAGAACCCGTATTTAAACCCGTTCTTGTTCTCTTGCAGGCGGTGCGGGTATTGTGGCCGGCCTGGCGATTTACGGGTACAAGATCCTGCAAGTTCTCGGCGTGAAGGCCGTGAAACTGACCAACGCGCGCGGTTTCTGCTGCGAGCTCGCGACCGCGGGCGTCGTCATCCTCTCCTCCAGATACGGTCAGCCCCCTGCGCAGTCTCTGCCAGACATGTCAAAATTGGTTTGCGATTTTCTTGGTTAGCTGCAACGACAGCCTTACCATTGCGGTCAGCGCTCCGCGCAGTCTCGGCCACACACGGCGAAACGCTGGTTGCGATCTGGGATAGCTGGGACGAGAACGTTAGTCACATTTGTGGTCAGCGCTACTTTAAACATAGCCAGGCGATTCAGAGATTGTTTATCTAGGGTAATTGCAGCCTGAGCGTGGTCAGTCACTAAGTTTGAAGAACGAGACTACAATCAGAACATCATCGACCCCTTGACCGTGAAGTTCCTCCTCTTAGCATCTAATCACGGTGTCTCTGCTGTGACCGCAGTTTGTGCCAAGCGGTGCGTGAGTCCCTCACCGATGCTTTTTGCTCCTTTTCTTGCGGTCCAGAGAATTTCAAACTTACATCGGTTCGTCGAAAGCGCTGTCTTCTCTTGCCTCCTGACGAAGTCGGTCGTTTTCCATGCGTTACCGCCGTGGCTTTCCACTCAATGAACAAATAAGTCCAGTGAATAGGACGTGGGACGTCTAGGGTTAACGAGGGGGGTTAGGTGGGTACGGGTGAGGAGCGCGCTCTAATAAGTGGGACGTCTGAGGTTAACGAGGGGGGTTAGGTGGGTAAGGGTGAGGAGCGCGCTCTAATCCTGAGTCAAATTTGCAACCCAATAGGTTATTCTTCGGTGGGCTTTATTGTAACTAGATCGGGAATTCGTGCTGTGCAGGCCTGCCCGTCTCCACGACCCAGACCATCACGGGTGCCCTCATTGCCATTGGGCTCTTCGAGGGATCTAAGGGCGTCAACTGGCGAGTCATTATCAGGGTGAGTTTGTTAGCTTCGCCTCGGTAGGCCCTTTGGGCTGTCGTTTGGTTCTTCAGGCTTTGTTTTACGAGGGACAGTAGTTTCAAGATCACTTTTTCTGCACAGTACTCTTGAAGCTAATGACAATCGCGAGAACTCAAGTACGTTGTGGATGGCACCTTTTCTGCCAGTATTTGAGTGCTTTCGTCACGCGGAGAAGCTGTGGTTAAGAAGCCGGTCGTTTACACAGCGGGTTTTCGCGAAACTTTGCACGCCTTTCATAGTGTTTATCATTTGCCAGACCGTCCCGCCCTCTGATCATCCGCCTCAGGAATGTTTTTTTGCGCTAACGTTCCTTCAAGCAGTCTGGATGGAAGTCGTTCGCAAAATACCACCTGAATCCTGTGTATGCAAAGCGGAGGAGCCGAGCTGAGTATACTTTGGAGCGTGGCTTCTGGATTCTGGAATTGGAAATGCAAGCACCACTTTCCTCCCAGGTCATTGCAGCCTGGATCTCGTCGACCATCGTCTGGGTGACGCTTCCTTTAGGAACACTGACTCGTTAGGAGTAAAGTTCCCAAGCTAGCACCAGAACTCCAGCCTTAGAGCCACCTGCTCCGCACCCTTAACCACCCTGAATCCCCAAAGTAACCCTACCCTGAGGCGGATGATCTTACTATCCCTAACGGTTATTTCTGGCCAAATTCCAATTACTCTTGGTCGTTTTGCAGACGTTCTTTGGGTGGGTCCTTACCCTCCTAGTTGCCGCTCTGATCGCCGCCGCAAGGTTAGGCGGCTGAAATCACAATTCCAACGCTTCAAAAGTTCCTGAACCAGAATCCATCTACTCTAATTTGTATTTGCAGACGTTCTTCGGGTGGGTTCTCACCCTCCTAGTTGCCGCTTTGATCGCCGCCGCGATCACGTCCTTTGCGGTTTACGCGCCCAGCAAGGTGTCCTCCGACGACGATAACTACGTCGCTAACTACCTCGATAACCAGTCGCTGCGCATGATCCGCCAGATGAACACCTCCGCCGCCGGCGCCGCGATTCGGCCCACTCTGAGTGTGAGCGTCTCGCGCAATCTTCCGTCTTGCACAGCTGCTTGCTTCAAACGTGCTGTTCTTCCCCTCGAGTCTCGACTTTCGGTACCTGATCTTAGACCGTTGGATCAGCAATTGATGTGGACCGTACGGGTTCAAGCTGGCACATTCCGCAGATTTCGGCTTACGAGGGTGGCAGGTCTGACGCAAGGAGCTGTAGCTTCTTCTTCGATCTGCAGTGCTTCTCTATATTTGCATCTGCCTCTGGTTGCTACGTGGCACTCTGGCCTTGGTTGAGCAGCCCACGTGATGGCGACCGCCACAGGGAAGACAAAACTTTTTGCAGACGTCATCGATCCGTTTATCATGGTCTGATAACCCTCGTTTTCGCTCTTTAAACCGACTTCTAACCATGTTTTTCCCCGGCTGGCAGACCCTGAGCAAGACGGTGACTGCGCTCACCAAGGAAGCGAACGAGCACCCGTACGACTACGTGGCAGCCCACAATGCCACCTTCAACCTGTACAATAGGTATGGTTCGAAAACTGGGTTACGACAAGAGTGGGCAAATGCCTTTGGCTAACCATGCAGCTGACGACAAACGATGGGCACCTTACATTCGGGCCATCGACAGAGGGGCCATCGACAGAGGGGCCATCGACAGATTGACGCTTTTCGTGGGATCTGCAACCGTCGAGGTCTCAGAAAACGTGCACAATGACTGGGTCTTGGTCGAAGTTGCTGAGGGTTTCGCTTCTCGGTTGGCGCGGTAGGGTCGCTATGCACCGCACGTGTGATACTGCTCCTGCTCGTGGCAGAGGTGAAGGTCCGCCAGAGCGTGATCTCAGTGGTGTGGAGTTTGAGTGCGGATGTCAGTGCTTGTATCAAAACTGAATGCGGTATTTTCGTCCTTGCAGCACGCTGTCAAGCAAGACCGCATAGAGATTGGCGCGCACCGATTTTCCGATTGTCGTTCCAGCTAGTTGGCACGCACAGATGGCTTGGTTCTCCTCTCGGCGTAAGCTTGTATAACAAAGAAATTATTCGCGTGATTCTTAGCAGGTTATTAGTTGAAGCTGGTTCAGAGTGTCTTACTTTGGTCTGACAAAATCCAAGATAGGTAGTCATGCGTATTGTATCGAGGGCTGACAGCCTAGGACATCAACGGTGTACAATAGGTGAGATGATTGTTTTGTACATCCCAAATTTTGTAGCAGACAATGGATGCCATTCAAAACTGACAATTGAACCAGCGGCGATTATAGTACTCGCAGGTGTAGGAAATTTCAAATCTGTATCAGTAACCATACATACTCCGAAGTTCACGTGGTCAGTTTCTATAATCGCCTGCAATCTGGAATCATTTAAGGGCGTCCTTTGACTTGCGTGCCTAAGTTTGGCAAATCCCTTGTCGTATTTTTGTCTAGATTGTGATCACACACATGCATCTGCTAAATAGTCGCTCGGATTGCTGCTTTGTCCTTGTTTGAGAAATGTTGCCTCTCAGAATCTGCTTCTTTTGCTTTACATTAATCTTGCCACCTTATAAGCCGGCAGCCAGCTCCGAGTCTCATTGGGAATCCTCGAGAAACGCTCAGCAATTTCCGACTCGAACTGTAATAATCGGGAACACGCTTCCCTCAATGGTGAGTCAAAGAGAAGGGGTCTACAACTCTTTGAATAATTAGTAAGTCTTGAAGACTAAAAAACGTGACACTCTCCTTTCAAATTGTGATGCACATGGTCTTCCAAGCTACGGAGTTCAGCCAGCGCTTTTATAGTCGTAGCATGTCAATATGAAAGATTCTTACACATAATTCAAGCTTGCTTGCTTTTGCAAATTCGTTAGAACATGCAACCCCTATATCCACCACTCAAAACCAGAATACTCAAGAGGTGTGACACGCGCACCCGGCCTGCCAATTTGAGGGGGATTTAGGATCGTAAAATCCTTATAGGTTGTGTTGATTTTGCGGCCTAACGTATCTTAGGCTCATATGGATGCCCGCCCGGAATCAGCCGGTCCAGGCAGCCTGCAATTCCAGCCTCCGAGACCCTGCTATAAACCGGCATGCATTTTCAAGAACTTATGTGGACATTCAACACAATAATCGGTAGACAGTTGAGCCAGAACGTATCATTATTCTCATTGAAAGCCGCACACGATTGAGACTATGTCTCCCGCCCGAGGGAGAACTGATCAAACTGGCTATGTCAAAGATATAAACTTACAAAACGATGCATTGTTAAATTCAAGGCATAGTTTATGCACATAACAGATCAAGCATTAGCATTCTGGCAAGCACGCTAGTCGAAGATCCATTTGTTCGACTGAGAATTTCCTCCCCGCATCTCTTTTACATCCAGTGTTTCAATGTCCGCCCCACGTCCGCTTGAGGCATGTGCATCATTTGATGAAGACCATCTGTCTAGTAGGTACCTGGGAGGGGGAAGAAGAAGATGGCGTTCCAGGGGTTCGTTATCCAGTTATTCTCGCGGTGTTCTCGCGTTGCATTTAACGAAGTATCTTAGTAGATTTGGTAGGAAAGAGCCGGCCGGGATGACGTTTAGCATGAGCGAATTGTGTGGGCGAAGTGTCGGCCAGTCCCCCCCATCCTTGGATCCGTTGTGTACACACAGCGCGCTCGTCTTCTTGTTTCATAAAGATTCCTTCCCCGCTTGGGCTGGGTCGCCCGGGGACTTGGGACAACGTCGCCCTGGACAACCCAATTCCCTCCTATTTGCTAGGGCTACCGGCGGCGGCCGCCCAGGCGGCCGGGGCCCCGGGAGTATCCACGCCGGAACCCAAAGCCTATAGTTCGAACCTTGTTTAATGTCGACATTAAATACCTACTTCGGAGTATGTCGACACTGTACGGCCGCAGTGGCATGTTCATTCTCTTGCGTTCCCCACCTCCGTAACATGGCCACCTGGGCCCGGTAGGATTCGTGGCAGACTGACGACAAACCTACGAGACCTACGGCCTCCAGGCCGCACGGCGCAGAGCAGCGTTTCCACAGGGGGCCCGCCACCAGCCATCGTGCCCCCTGGCAATCGCCCCCCCAACTTGTGAGGCGCTTGGGAGGCCATTAACGCGGGCGCCTTCCAGAAGGGTACCCGGTAGGTGGGATAATGCCCCCCGGTGAGATCCTTTCGTGAAAGGCCGGCTCGGCGTTCTCACGTTTTCCGTACGTGTTGCCCAGTGCCGTTGTCTACCCGTTTAGGGTACCGTTACTTTGAAGTGGCACCCGGTTTAAGGTGTTCTGTTGAGGGGGGGAGGCTTGGGTTGCCTCCGTCGACCGATCGAGGTGGGAAGGGGGGGACCCGGGGGGCCTTGAGGCTTTGGACCTGGCCGGGCGCCCAGCCGGATTCGAACAGGCGGGAAAACATGCTTTCCCACGCTGATTTATGCTCTTTTAATAGTTAACGGATCTGCGATTCTAGTCCAGGGCTGTCCAGGCAGTGATCGTGGCGAAAACAAATCTTGGAATACACTAAATAGGAGCTCCCAGACACTAATTGGCGAAAAATCTGGCGAAAATCAAATTGGCGAAAAGAATTAGTTTCGCCACGAACATTGTGTCCAGGGCTAGTCCAGGAATACATCTTCGATCCAATTTCAAAAAAGGGCAAAATCATGTACCTATAGGTGCGACGGTGCTCTTACTCGATCTGAAAAATGTGACCCGGTACATATAAGGCGGGCGCCGGGGCCTTGCCATCTAAGGACAAGGCCCCGCCGGAGGTGGCGCAGGGCTTGTGCCCCTCCAGCCAAATTAAGCGCGCCTCTTATACCGATGACCGGGTGCCACTTTAAAGTGACGGTACCTAATAAGGGCAGCTCGAGAAAGATTCCAAAAAGATGCTCTTTGGATGTTGCAATATGGTATTAAAGGTGTGAACATCCAGCTCATTTTGGTCGACCGACGACACCAGCGAACTTCGAAGTGATGTCCGAATCACACCCTTTCACTCAGTACGGTAACCGTATCATAGCCGCATAGGCCACCAAGCCAGGTCCTTTGCGGCACTTGTCTCTTGAGAAGAAGTTCGGAGGAGAAGTTTGGAGGTGAACTTCTTCCATCTTGTCTTCACGTCGGGGGCGCCCCTGCTGCCGTTGCAACTTGTTTGAAGGTGAGTCAACACGACCGGTCTACTCCACGCCATTGATCGAGCAGGGCACCGCTTGCTGATCGGCCTTGGAGCTTGCTGCATTGCATCCGCAGCTTGGGACGGGCTATAAGTTCTTCGATATGGGACCGTGCGATAAATCCCTTCCAGAGCCGCGTACTGAAAGCTGGTCATGACAATATAGGCAGGAGGCCCATTTCTTCCCGCTGACTCCAGAACTTCTGGCCCTTGGAGCGTTGTGCGCTGGTGCTTGGTAGAGCTCTTACAGCTGATCAATGATAGCGCGCCGTTGGTCGCCGAGCTGGCTGGCTGGAATATGCAGGATACCCTGAACTTTGAATTGATGTCTTAATGCTGCTTGATGTATCTAACCAATCTGCGCTAACAGACACCAACTCTCCTCTGCTTGGGCCCTCTACCTGCTACATGGAATTTTTGGCAGCAGCCACCAGCTTATGGCCTTTTCCCTGTCATTGCAGACACAGTGCTCGCTTGCCCCAACTCCCCTTGGTCAAGATGGCTCAGTTCGACCAGTACACATGGATCTTTGCGATCTCAACTGTTGTCAGTTTCATCTGCGCCTTTGGGATCGGCGCCAACGATGTGGTAAGTTTCCCGAGAATATACACATACGTATTGACTCTTGTGACTGCAACCGTCTGGTCAAACGGGGTTCTATTGGACAGAGAGGAATGTGTGGATGGGACGACAGGGCCAAGAACTTATTATCTCTCTGCTGTCTGTGCCCCCTGGCAATCCTTGCATCTGTCAATACTCTGAATCGCTAACAAGCAGTTCTGAAAACGATACATTTGCCCCTCCAGCTTAGCAAGTATGATGCTGTCTCTCATGGGTAACCTGCAAATATGAAGTTGATTCCTTCTTGTTTTGTTCCAAGATGCTTTGAGCAGGCAACCCAACAACGCTGGCAGTTGATCCTCCTCTGGGTGCGTTGTCGGGTCCCCTATCTTTTGCATCAATTTTGAGGAACAAACAGCGCACTAGCTACACCTGCCCCCTAGGTAACGGATTCTTTCAATTTTTCCCCCCTGGATTCTTGATTTCCTCCTTCTTCTCCCACCCGCAGGCCAACTCGTTCGCCACTTCAGTTGGGTCCAAAGCCCTGTCCATGCCCCAGGCCATCATGATAGCAGCTGTCTGCGAATTCCTGGGAGCGCTTCTGCTTGGAGCAGGAGTCACTGACAGTAAGCGCAACGAGTCCTCTCAGATGCTGCCTCAGGTGTTATGATGTATTTTTCAAGAGTCCTTGCCCGTGCGTGTTTGTAATCGCTAGGCCTGCTTCTCCTCCTTGGTGAAGCAAGACGGATGGAGGTTTGGAGTGTGTGATTGCATATTAGCAAGAATCTGCTTTTGCGGAACCAAGGTTGGGAGCAGCAGATTAGTCTTCAAGGGCTTGAAGCTCAAGTGTGAGGGCTTCTGAGGCCATTGGCTCCAAACGATGGGCAAACCTTCTTTGTGCCTTTCCTCAATCATTGTTTCTGGTATCAATAGCCTGACGAACCTGTTTTTCCTTTGTGCAGCTGTTAAGAACAAGATCGCCAACGTGGGGCTTTTCACCAACACCCCAGGTGATCGACCTTTACAGCTCGCCACCATCTCGCCTCAAGTATTTCAATCAGGCATTTCACCAGCTGTCCGTGATTTGGCCCCTCTGCATAGTGTTGAAAGCTGCCTTTTACTCTTATCGGATGGGCAAACCTCTCAAAAACCCCTGTGTGCTTCTGCATACATGGGTGGGCCTGTGGTTGGGTTATGCTTGAGCAACTTGTCTGAACCGCTTTGAGGGCTTGTTTTTGGTGTGCAGAGCTGCTGATGATGGGTATGCTCGCGGTCATGATCATGGCGGCGTTCTGGGACAACTTCGCGTGCCACCTGGAGCTGCCAGTCTCCACCACTCATACCACAGGTGAGCCGACGCTCTCCTCGGGACTCTCTCAACTTTGGTTGTGTCAACTGATGCATTTGATGTGCCAAGACCCATGCTTCGATCGTGTTTCTTCGTTTTCTCCCTTAGTAGCATTTTGGTACCCAAAGGTCCTCCTCCTCTTACAGTTGGCGCAATCGTGGGCATGGCCTGGGTCATCCGCGGCCGGTATGCTGTGGTGTGGAGCAAGCTGAACATCAACCCCGCGACGGGGGACAACGACTTCCCGTACTCAAGGGCATGAGCATCATCTTCCTCCAGGTGGGTCTCGGTTTCCCTATCCAGATTCGTAAAGATCGCCTCAAGTTCCAATAAGGGCCTGGGAGCAAGCTGAACATTAACAGCGCGGGCAATAACGAGTTCCCGTATCTCAAGGGCATGAGCATCATCTTCCTCCAGGTGCGTTACTTGCCCTCTGCCATTCAATGTGACGGAAGGAGTTTGCTTGCACGCCAGAAACCCCGTTCCGTTTTTGTCCCGCTTCTCAAGAAGACAAGACCAGCTCTTTCAGCCACGGAAGGTTTCATTGTGAGGTCATCAGACGCCCCAGTATGGAAAGGTATCAGAATGTTCCGACTTCAACCTCTGAATCAGAAACTGATGCCGCCTCCTATCTGCCTAGTTGCACCTTCTTCCGGATTTGTCTGCTCACATGTGCTCGATCTTCCCCCCTTGTTTCTGCTGAGACCTCGACGATAAACCTGGCGTGCAGACCTAAGATTCGTTGGACCAGTGGCAAAAGGCCCAACGTAACCTCTATATTTAATGTGAGCTCTTATAGCCCAACGTGAGCTCTTATATTTCTCGTTGCTGACCCCTTCTTCAGTGCAGTGGGTGGTGTCTCCAATCAGCTCCGGCATCCTGGTGTCCATTCTCTTCTTCCTGCTGCGCACCTTCGTCCTCCGCTCGCCGCACTCTTTCATCCGCGCCTTCTACGTAAGTCGCGCCTCCCACTGTCGCACTCTTCTGATCTGCATATGAGCAGGCGTGTGTGGAGATTGCCATGATGCGTGTTGCATTGTATCAGGTCGCCTTTGTAAACACCTGAAAGCATCTGATTTGACTGTAGGGGAATATGAGCTGTTTGGGAGCCCACCTTGTTTGTTGCTCTGATATAACGACTGGGTCTCTTGAAGCTTTCGTAAGTCGTGAGCCTAACAGGATCGGAAGACTCCCCCCTGTTGTTGCCTACCAGCTATTCCTCTGAAACGGGAGTGCAAGGTCAATCCATGACCAACGTTCTTGAGTTACAGGCCTGCCTAATCTCTGGATCAACTGAGAGGCGTTTGACGCCCGAGCTAGCTGACGTGCTTCTCACACGATCTGTGCTTCCTTCGTGCAGCTGTTCCCAATCCTGGTGACTGGGACCTTCTTCGTCGTCGTTATGTTTGTCATTCAGACTGGCAACAAGAATGGCAGCTGGGACGTAAGTTCCCCCCTTGGACCCCCTGTCTCGACACTTTGTTTGCAATCTTGGACCCGTTGCCCGGGCCCTACTTGAACGTCTTCCACTGATGCACCGTTTCTTCGATCTCTCCTCTGTCTGTTGGGGAGAATCGCTCCACCACCCATTGTGCTAACCCGGCTTAAGAGCAGTCACAACAGGGTTATAAGGACGTTTTCTGACTGAAAGGTCCGGGTTAGAGATTCAAGCAGTCTTAATTTTGCCTTCAGATGTGAGTCTCAAAGCTTTCTGAAAAGTCCGGTTCTGACATTCAACCTGCCCTGATATTTCTGGCGGCGATCCGAAAAGTGGTCTTAAAAACGGTTTACGATTCTCAGGAAATTGCACATGTCACCCATCTCGCAGGCCTGTTCAAACCAATCTTATTATCGAGCATGATGTCCCTTCTGACGTCCGATCTTTTTTGCTTGCTGTGCAAAAGCTATCGGGAGCTGAGAGCGTGTGGATCAGCGTCGTGATTGCTGTCGGCATGGGCGTTCTGATTGGACTTATCGCCATGCCCCTGCTCTGGAAGGCAGTCCACGCGGCAGACGCTGACAGGGAGCGGTGCGTGATCTCCTCTGAAGTCACAGCTCCATGTTGAGCTTGAAGCTACTCGTTTCTGACTGCCTTTCGTTTCTTCGACCAAGTTGAAGAGGTTACAGTCACCATGTTGAAGTTGAAGCTCCTCGTCCGATCGCCTTTCGTTTCTTCGACCAAGTTGAGAAGAGATTACGGACATTTTTCTGGTTGAAGACCCGGTTGGTTAAAGCGATCCAACTCTGGCTTGACGCGTAGAATGCTTGTAACTCAAAGTGCGCTGTCCCAGCAGTATTTGTACCAAGCAATTTACCTCGTAGGCAAAGAGGCACAAGGCGAGGGCTCGATTTTTTTTGCTGCGCTACCTGCCTTGTCATTAGTAGTCAAAGCAGACAACGTGGATCCGTGACGTCATTGGTGTTTTCCTGTGGTGTAATCAACGTGCATGTAGATGCGCTTTCTAGCTGCCCTCTTCGAGAATCAAAGTCAACAGGGCAGGTTGTAATCCCACAAATTGGACAAAACATAGTGTTTTTCAGTGCTTGCTTTGAACGGCAGTGACTGCCTTTCTTCCCAAGTCAGATCGCTTTCACAGGAATAAGCTTTGGATGCTAACCAGGGTTCTTTACTAGACCTTCTCTCGGGTTATCCGATAACTAACTAGTCGGTATGTAACCTTGCTCCAAGACTAGTTACCCCCCAATAATGATTACTGGACATATACCACTTTTTGACCAGCCCATATTTTTCCTTGGTTAACAGCCAAAAATGCCTGTGATTTATGAAGTTGGATTTGCACTGGACCTGAAACGCTACCTCTGCTATGGCTGCAGCTCCGAAGCCGACCGTAAGATGGAGGCCGCCAAGATCGAGGCCTGCGAGCTCGACCCCAAGGAAGCCGCTCGCCTGCGTGCGCTGGCCGATGTCGAAGCAGCCAACGAGAGTAAGACACGCGTCGACCCGTCCGCTGATGGCCTTTTGTGCTTTGTTTGGAAAACGAATAGCCGCCACTTGATTGCCGCTTACAAGTGAAGAGCAGAGAAATGCCTTACGCGAGGCGAACACTCTGCCCCGGTTTTGAAATCCTTCAATCTGTAACTCTCTCTTTTTCTCACCGTCAACTGGTTATCATATGCTTAAGTTTTCTCTTGGTTTCAATATGGTTGGATGGCTCGAACCGATTCAAGGACCCTCTTGAAACTGACGCTGGCCGTGGCCGATTCACACCTCGCCTTTGATGCTCTTGCAGGCAAGGACACCATGTGGAACCGCTCCATGGACAAGATGGGTGTGAACAAGTTCGCACAGACGGGCGCAGGCAAGCTCATCTTCGGCAACTGGTTTGTCAGGACCCTGACCTACGGCGCTAACTACAAAGTTCACGATGCCATCGGCACCGATGACCGCGTTGGAGAGATTTGGGAGGGCGCCGAGGTCTTCGACTTCAAGACGGAGCGTTTGTTCCGTTACCTCCAGGTGCATGATCGACAACGAGATCGTAGTAGATATGACTCCAAAGCAAGGCAGAACGCTGATTCACACAGAGTGCGGTGTTTGCCGTTGGGGCAGAACGAGTGGGTTTTGCCTTCTGTCTCGTGTTTTGCTTGGGGTCGAATTGAGAATCTTCGTAGGATTGGTTCTTTGATACTGCTCCTCAAGACGGGATTGCTTGTCGGACTATCGTGCTATCTACTTGTTCCACAAACTGTCGTTGCTGAAAGTTGGAGTTGCGGAAAGAGGCGCATTGGTTAACCTTTTCTTCTTTGCATTGACCGCAGGTGTTCTCTGCTATGGTTATGTCTTTCGCCCACGGCTCCAACGACGTTGCCAACGCCATGGGACCCTACTCCGCTGTCTACACAATCTGGTAAGGCCGCTTTCCGTGTTCGTCAGCTTGGTTCTGATCAGGTTTCTTAAGAGAGTATCCGAAACAGCTTCCGGCTTCAAAACATAAACGATGCGCAGACGAAGGTACATGAGAGTCTGTGTCACGGACTAGATTCGTTGAGGATTTCATCCATTTCGTCGCTTGCATTCCTCGGAATTCAATTGTCTCCACGAGGTACGGTTTTTCCCAAGTCCTCTTTTCGCATTTGTTGCACGTCATGCTTCTGCACCGTTCCCCTTTTTGGACTTTCCAGATCGAATGAATGCCCATCTCAAAGGGTTGGCCTTTAAGTTTCCCGACCTCATTGCTGAGCGCTTTTACTGTTGCAGGAACACAAGCAAGGTGCCCCCTAAGACCAATGTCGAGAAGTGGATCCTCGTGTACGGTAAGTTACATCAGATTTCCCATTTTTCGATCGTCGTTTCTCATTTCTAGTCCCTCCATCCTACTTGTCGGCGGTCAGTAAATCATGTTTAAAGTACTCGTGATGAAGGCTCACTTTCTTCACTTCACAACAATCCGTTCGTTTCTCATCGGTTGCCGTTGTAACTACTCCTGGTCTTGCATTCATCTTCTCAATCGGTCCCTGTTCTCTTGCCGACAACGGACTCACTTATAGATTATCAGAGGCAGGTATAATAAGCTCCATTAAAATACTAAACCCCTAACCCAACAATCTGAGTGCTCCACACGCGCACTCACCCTAACCATCAAACTAACCCCACTCGTCCAGATTGGCGAGCTTATTATACCTGCCGCTTATTATTCCTAAACCTGTCCGTCATCTCTTACAGGTGGTGCTGGCATCGTTGCTGGTTTGTCCACGTACGGGTACAAGATTCTGCAGGTGCTGGGTGTGAAGTCCGTCAAGATGACCAACGCGCGCGGATTCTGCTGCGAGCTCGCGACCGCGGGCGTCGTCATCCTCTCCTCCAGATATGGTTAGCCCCCTGTTAACCCGAACTCCTGCATCGGACCCTGACCACTGAGATTAGTATTGGCATAGTAACATGGTCAATACACCCGCGGCCGAAACTCGTCGTGTTCGGACCCTTTCGTCTAAATCTCTGTTCAAAGGTTGCCATCACGCCTCTCTAAGATGCGGTTGTCGAACTGCACCGAGCGACGCGACCGCGGGCTAGCCGCCCTTCTCGGCCTCGTTTGTCACTAACTACTCAACTAACTAATTAAATAGAGCTCTTCTCAAGCAACCTGCCGGTTTGAAATAGGGGAGGAAGCTTGGAAAGTTAGTCAAGCTAGTTGTCGCAGACTCGACTAACTACTAGTCATGTAACTATTTAAGCTTCCCTCTCTTACTCGAATCGGCAGCCTGGTCGCAAAGAGCTGCAACTAAAATCAATTACTGAATAATCACTTCATGTATAGAAGTACAACAAACCAAAATAATACTTATGTTCATTATAAATCCTGACTATTTAAATACCGCTTGGCAGGCCTGCCCGTGTCCACTACCCAGACCATCACGGGCGCCCTCGTTGCCATGGGGCTCTTCGAGGGAGCGAAGGGGGTCAACTGGCGGGTTATCACCAAGGTGGGTTATATAGATGCTGCCTTAAGCCCAACCCCCGACGCTATGGTTTGTGGGCGGTTTCGTCTGTTCCTTTCTCATGAATCACGAACGTTTTAGCCTTCCAAAAGGGTCACCGTTTCCCGCACGGCACTTCTGAGGCTATGCGATTTGCCAGGAGAGGCACTGCTGGTGTGCTTTGCTTCTATGAACGCGAGTATCTGCAAATTCATTGAGCGGATTCCTTTATCATGGATTTATCAGCCTCACCAAAGCAAAGCTGTGGATCGTAAGCTAGCCTCCTCTACAGTTTCCGCAAGCTTTTCCCACGTTTTACACACTCGTCTCATCTCTCTCAGCTCGTGGCCGTTCTTATGTTTCTGCGCTTTGATGTCTGCCTTCTTTTCCGTCTGGAGAACCAGAACCTTCCGTCTTGTCCGAAGGATCAGGTGCCACCCGCTATCACGTTCTTTCTGTTCGTTGCACATTGCACCTTCGATCCGGCTGACTCCCTTCGGCTCGTTCGCAGGTGTTCGGGGGGTGGATCTTGACCATCTTCATCGCGGCTCTGATCTCCGCCGCGATCACGTCTTTCGCCGTCTACTCCCCCAGCAAGGTCGCCTCGGATGACAACAACTACGTCGCGACTTACATTGACAACCAGGCGCTGCGCATGATCCGCCAGATGAACACCTCCGCCAACGGGCTCACAGTCCGCCCCGCTCTGAACGTAAGCGCCCTCTCATTGTTCCGGGCTCCTTAACCTCAGCACCCGAGGTGCTGCTTTCGACGGAGTGTTCGATAGTCCCCACAAAGGCGAGGAGTCTATTGTACCGTCGATTCCCGCGAATTCCGCACCTAACGGCGCAGACTTTGGATGCGAGGTTAAGGTGCCCGAGTCTGCAGCTTCCATTGCGTCCTGCTCTTCATTGCACTGCGCTTATGTGTCCCTGTCCGGGGTCATAGTGGTGGCAATTGCCTCCTGGAGTTCTTCAAGCAGCCCACGTGGTCACGTGGCAAAGGCTGTGCGGAACGGAAGACGGAACGGAAGATGAACGGAACGACGACGTCCTTATCAAACACAAACTCGAGAGAACTTACCATAAGCCGATGATAACGAGGTAACCGCACTGGGACGAGTAGAATCGGTTTGGGGGTTAGGCTGTGTAGGGGTGCGAAGCAGGTTCTTCACCAGGTTAGGGTTTTCGTGTCAGTCGGAGCAATCTCGGAGCTTGGCTGATCATCATCCGAGTTTCATCTTACCAAGCGTGTGCTGGCCAGATCACCAGACAGTAACAATGTGTTCCCGGCTCGCAGAACCTGAGCAAGACGGTGAATGCCATCGTCAAGTCCGCGAACAAGCACCCGTACGACTACGTCAAGGCCCACAACTCCACCTTCGTCCTTTACAACAGGTATGCTTCAGAGAGTGGGACACTTTGTGTGTATTTTTGAGAACGCTTGCCCACTTCTTCAGCCGGCTCTGTAATTGGCTTTGCACCCGGCCGCTGAACCTGTGGGGCGGCAGTAGAACCGTCGCGACCACATGTGACTAAGATTTATAGCACAGAATTGATCAATCGGACGCGTTATCTCCATCGAATCAAGCTTTGAACCTTGGGTATGGTTCTCGTTTGCCGCAAAGGGATCAGTACTGTATTTCTGCCAAGTAATTCCAAGCAGCAAGAACCACGAGGGATCCCTCGATTTAGCCGTGTCTGAACTGACCGCTCTTCGTTTCCTTCGTGCAGCACCCTCGCTTCCAAGGCCGTCTAAATTATTTTCATTCAGCTAGCGGCTTGTCAAAGATATAAAGTGGTTTGCAAGGTTTTGAGAAAGTCAACCGGCGCGTTGTACCGTACTAGGGGATACAGCACCTAGCAATTATACAAAGGTGATTGTGAATTCCCAAAGCAGGCTCAAGTTGGAGCGAATATACAGTCAGTACGCCATGATGGAGTAGTTTACAATTGTTCCAAGTTTCTTCGAAAACAATATCTTCACAACATCCCCTTACCTGATTGGGTGAGATGTTGCGTTCGCAATATGTATTCAGACTCTACTGTGTCGATTGCGATCGTGAGCAAGGGATCGAGGACTGAGGCAATTACGTAAGGAGACAGAAGCTATGGGCAGAGGCCGGAACAGAAAGATGAGGGGTCAAGTCAATGATGGACGATGTCAATAATCTTATATTTTCAAGTTTTTCCCTTTTATCTGCTTGTTCGAAACTCGTAAACAACTTCCGCCAGCCAGAGAAGTTTGTATATAAATACGTTTCACGCTGTATGAGCTTTTTCCGTAAGATCTGTTGATCTTATCAAATCTGTTGATTTGAGTTCTTCTTGAGATAAGGCACGTCTGGTCTGAAACCGCGGGCTTGTCACAGGGGAGAATTATCTTGCACACCTCCACCGAAATATTAAATGTGACCTATGCCGTGGAGTTAGCGCGCCCCGATTCACGCCCTCTGCTACTCAATCACTTACCTCACAATGATCCGACCCAGCCAATTCGAGCGATCGAAGTTCTTTACCGTACATGAGAAGTCGCGGTGCCCATGATGCCGGCCCCCCCTCGGTGGCATGTATTACTCTCGGCTCGATCGCAGCCGGAGCTAGCTATATAGTACAATAGCCCGCAGTGACACTGAAGACGTACGCGTCGCACCATCATGCGCGGCTTGCGTCGATCAGTGATTGTGCATGCATGTGTCTGCCGCGTTTCAATCGACACTGAAGACGTACGCGTCGCACCACATCGGTCATGCGCGGCTTGCGTCGATCAGTGATTGTGCATGCATGTGTCTGCCGCGTTTCGATCAGACCGGCGAGGCGCATGCTTTGGGAATACTGTGGCACTACATGCAGCGGCAAGCATGATCCTAATCGACGACTTGACTGTAACGAGATTGAACCATGTAGTTTGCGGTATCCTTTGCGCCGTTTTGTAGAGATATTTTATGTAGCAAAACTAGTATGAGTATCCTGCATCATGCACTTTCATAACGCTCGATATACACAATTCAGTAGTCTTTGGAGAGCTATCATTTCCTCTTCTTTCCCGCTTGCTTCCCTTTCGCCCCCTTCGATTCTTCGCATTCCACCACCTTGCACACTTCCACCGCAATCCCCGCCGCTTGGAGCGCTCCGATCCACGCCCTTTGCTGCTCAGAAAGCCGGTCTCGCGGCCCCTTCACCTCCACAAGCTTCGCCTCCCTCTTAACCCAAAAGTCAACCCCTTCCCTCAGCCCCCCGATTCCACCGTCACCCTCGGTAACCCCTTCTTGACTGCTGGTCGTTCGTCCAGTATTTATCCCGTTGCACTCGACCAAACCCACCTCTTGGCAGTCCCAAGACGCTTCCAAACCACTCGGCAACTGGACCCCTCTCGCAGGCCTCTCCTCACTCCTCAAACCTCCAACTCGTCCCCGCTCCTCCTCAAATCGAACCCCGTTCAAACCCACCCGATTTTCCCGCCACAGCAACAGGTCCGGCATGCCCCCGGCCCACCCCGCGTGATCCTCCGCTAATAACCGGCAAACCGCCGCTAACCCTTGGTTACCCACGCAACCCGCGATCGTCTGCAGCTCTTCCAAAGTGTGCCGCTCCCAATTTACACCCCGGCACCACGTGCCTGCTGACGTGGCCCAACGGACGGCCAGGAGAGATGCCACGTCACCGGTTTGGATAAGGCGGAGGCGCTCGAGTATGGCGGCCTCGCGGGAGGGGAAAAAGGCGTCCGTGTCCAGGTCGAGAGGGGCCGTCTGCAGGGAACAGTTTCGAATGGGTTAAAACCGGGTTGAGTGTGGTTTGGGATAAGGTCAGGCCACATGTTCCTCAATTCGGATCCTGGATCTTATGAGAATTCAGGTTGTTTCGAATCATCGACTCGGAAGCGAGAAGCCCGCACTTGGGGCTTGGAAACGAACCGGCTGTTGGTTCGCTTTCGGTTGCACTAGCTTCCGTTCCGGATCGCTCACAAAAAGATTCGTAGGTGATACAGATTCACTAGTGCTAGGTCAGAGTAGAAAATATAGAACAGCAATGCAGGCTCGGAAGAAGCAACGTCTGAAAAGGCGGCCCCTTCACTCTGCAGACCACTTGACAGAAGGACAGCATTGCATAAGAATGCAACCGAAGACCCCTCCTGAACGACGTCATTCAGAGCGAACGCATCTTCAAGCCTTCCTGCCAATCACGACGTTCCCAACTCTTGTGATCCAAGACGGCAACCGAAATATTCAAGCATCTCTTGGTCCGGGTCGGCGTTCCAAGGACCCCACAAGAAGGACACTTGAAACAACGGACTTCGACTCTCCTGATCCAAACGCTCTTCAAGAGTTCCCTAGGGACGGACGTCCGAGACAGAAACGGCGTCCGAAACGCGGCTCACTTGGGGGTCCGAAACGTCAAAATGCGTCCAAAACGTCCAAAACGTGTCCAAAAAGGCGTCCAAAACGGCGTTCGAAACGCGGCTCACTTGGAAGGGCGTCCGGAACACGTCCGCGACGTCCGCGAACAGGACCTCCCACATGAGCAGCCCGAACAGCGTGCACCAGACCCCCCCCTCAGAATGCACGCCTTCCCACCCCCCCCTTCGTCGCTCGCGTACCACTCCAGCGCCAGTTCTTCCACGCCGCACTGCCCGTTGTCCATTGCGTAGAACCGGGACTTCGCCCCGACTGTGCAGTTCAGGGGCCGGCCACTGATTCTCGTCTCGGGGCAGATGGTCGGAGAGTAGAGTCGGTCGACGGCTTCCGAGTAGTGGGGCTTGCGCCAGCGGCGGGGGGGCTTGGAGAGGCGACACACACGGCGTTGCAGGGCCAGGCGGTCGCCCCCGCGCACCCAGGGGTCCGAGACGCCCGCCTCTGCAGTCTGGAGGCTCTCTTCCTTCCTGGAAGAGGAACGGGCGAACAGCGAACGGGTCAGAGCGGAGTTCGAACGATCCAAGGAAAGAAGTCCTTTTGGCATCAAAGAAGTCCTGTTGGCATAAAATCGACCGACTCCTGCGGCCAGGTAATCGGATTCGCGGAAGACGTAAAACTGGCAAAAGAAATACTACAAGTAATCACAACCTGATGTTCATTGTCAGCATGAGGAGTCGTTGATGATCAGCAAGGTCCGAAGAACAACAAGCGTTTCGACGCAATGCAACGACTCGCAATTTGACTGTACTCCGTCTCACGCGCTGCCAACACGTGGGCGCGTGAGTTTGAGACTTGGTCTAGCAATGCAGCCTCACGAAAGTCCACACAGGCTACGAAGCGCCTGGAAAGCAATCAGAGTCTTCTGCATAAGGTATCAAACGGTTGCCATTGCGTCGCACGAAAGCTGACCTGCCCAGGTGATCCAGATTGATCGAGAGCCGGCCCCACCACTGCCCGCGCCGCCCCCGGGAATGGTTACCGCTCAGCAACTGCCGGAGGACCGTTACCGCCTCGCCGTACCGTTTCTCCTTCTCTAGTATCGACACCCCGACCGTCGCTACCACGCTGTAAACCCACCCCGCCGCAAACCGTGCGACGAACAACGGCGCCGGTCCCAACTCGGGAGACTGCCGGTCTTCCAGGTTAGCACTCGGGTTAAGCTCAACCCGCTCGTCCGTTTCCATCCGACTTTCAACTAGTAGCGGCACTTTCGTTCCCGTGTGCTGACCTTTCAGAGCCTCAAAAGCGTTCGCTGCTACTCCTACCTGTTCCCTGTGCACTACGGTCGTCTCCCTGACCTCAACAGTACCCATCTTCTGCGAGCTCACCTTGCGAGCGCTGTCAACGAACCGCTCCGTTACCTGCGCGTGCGCTATTGTACAAGCCTCTACTTTCGCACACGTGTCGCCCTGCAGGCCTGACACGTGGCAACCCAGCTCAGCTCTCAACCCGACTCCTGCCGATTGGAGAACAGGTCCTTCCCTCCCACATCCGTCGCACGGTTCTGCTTCCCGACCCAACTTCGGCATTTCTCCCGCGAGTCGCTTCCGTTCCTCAATCTCCTCCGGACCCAGTCTGCTTTCCCCCCCCCGGACAATAGAGCAACAGTGCCCTCGCTGCCGTCCGATTGGCTCCGTCCCCTCAATCGGACCGACCGAAAACGCCTCAACCGTGCTTGGAACCTCGGCCCCTCGAAACCGCTCCGCTGACATCGCCCGGCCGTTGTTTAAACCCCCTTCAGTGCCGAACTCAGTCATAGCGTCCCCCTCAAGTCTTACCGTCCCCCGCTCTTCCCCCGGCGGAGCCCCGACCCTCGACGCATCCTGACCGTCTGTTTCGAGTCCGGCAGATTGCCGTCCGCTGGTGGCGCCCCTCAGTGACGCGTTGGCCGAAAGCGCGCGTTGAGTGAGGCCACGGCGCGCGGCCGCGAGCAGGCGCAGGGCGGCCGCGGTGTCGGCTGCTTCGACGGCCTCGTCCATTCGCTGAGCGACGTCGAGCGCCTGCGTTTGGGGAAGGTTTAAGAAAGATTTAAGAAAGGTTTGGGGAAGGTTAAGGGAAGGTTTCAGGAAGGTTTAGGAAGGTTTAAAGAAGGTTTAAAGAAGGTCTAAGGTGATGCTGCGTCAGAATCACCTTCCGTCATTCGCGAAAACTGCTCATGGAGCTCTTTCGCAGAATAATCTTCTGCGTTTAAGGAAGATTAAAGGAAGGTGATTCTGCGTTCGGGGAAAGTTCAAGTTCCGTGATTCTGCAAACGAGCTCCATGAGCAGCTTTGCCTCAGATACATAACCTCCTTGAAGAGGTGCTGACTGATATCTGCCTCGCAGTACCAGTGCTTTAGATCATTCTTGGATGAAGGTATTTCCTTGAGAAGCGCCTCCATTTCATGTGTGGAGCTCTTGAGAACGCTCACCCTTTTCGGCGGATCTGTTGAAGTTTCTCAGAAGTCAGAGCGGCATGTGAAGGCTCCTTGCGACCAGCTTTGATTCAAGAAAAGCCAGGCTTTTCTGCAGGAATAGCATTATGCAAAAGCTACGCCGTTCCATAGAACACTCATTGATATTCCTTTTCAGAGCAAATTGCCGCTCCAACCGCCAATATTGGGCAGACTTCAGCTCCAACCGTCGAGGTTAAAACAAACTCCAGATCTCAATCGTCAAATGTTGGGTCAAAGCCCAACTTTGGCCGACAATATTATGGCGAACTCCCGTTCGGTTCGTCGTTACTGGGGCAGGTCATAATCGGACGCCGGATGTCTGTGCGCGCGTCCGGAAAATGGCGTCGTCTAGACTTTTCGTGAGGCAATATGCACCTTCGACCGTCGTAATAGCATTAGGCAAGAAGCCGGACTGAAAAGGGCAGATCAGGTTCGGACGCGGCACCTGTTCGTACGCCAGGAGGTCCGCCCGCGTCCGGAAGACGGGCCGCATCCCCGTTTGGAACCTTGAGAGGCAAATTTCACTTTCGACCATTGAAAAGAACAATGGGCCAAATGCCGAACTGAGAGAGGGGCAGATTATTCGGACGCCGCACCTGTTCGTATGCCAGGAGATCCGCCCGCGTCCGAAAGACGGGCCGCGTCCGCGAGCAGCGGTACGGCGGGTACTTGCACAGGCCCATGTCGACCAGCAGGAAGGCCGACAGGTCCTGCTCGCCGTTGAGGAAGAAGAGGCGCTGCACACATGCAAGCATGACGTCAGCTTGACGTCAACAGGGCGCGAAAGTGCATGTTGGTCTCGTTTCTGCGGGAAAGAGCCCAAAGGGAACATCAGCCCCCAAGCGGGAAGGGCGACAGGTCCTGCTCGCCGTTCAATAAGACGAGGCGCTGCGTTGACACGAAGGTGACGACAAGCTGACGTCGAAAGGGCGCGCCAGGTTTTCGTGGAGAAAGCGCTCAAGAAACATCCAACGCCGGCAGAAAGGGCGGAAAGCTTCGCTTCCCGTTGAGAAGAAGGAGCACCGCGCGGAGCACAGAGAATGACCATTGAACACAAAAATTCCTAATTCAGCACAGAGAATGACCATTGAACACAAAGAATCCCCCTCAAGTCACCAAAAAATGGGAACGAGTGAAAGCCAAGGAACCTGCGAACGTTGACCGAGACTGGCAGCGAGCAAGAGAAGAAACGTCCGACGCAGCTGCGCGCGCCACATTTACGACAAGAGAAGGCAGAATGAGGAGACGAAATCCGCACAATCTGAAGAATCACAGAAGCAAGCTAAAGAGAGATTGTCTGACACACCTCGCACGCGCCACGACCAAACGACCAGACAAAAAAAAAACTAAAAAAGCCGCCCAACTTCAAACTTGGGGTTTTAGAGTTAGGGTTTTTGGGTTGGGTTGGGTCTTAGGTTAGGCGAGATCTTAGGGTTAAACCCTTAAAACCCTAAAATCGCACCTGCACCCGCCACAGCAGGTGGTGCAGCCCCTCCGGCAGCCGCACGCTCTCCCCCGCCAGTTCAGCTACCTTCTCCATGACTGCCACGTGGCAGCCCTGGCCCCAGGGCGTCGTCTGCCGGGCGTCGCACGCCGCGTCCACGATCCACCGCAGCAGCTCGTCTCGCTTGGCGCCGTTGACTTCGAGCTTCGTCTGCGGTCGAAATTTGGTTCGGTCAGGTTCGCCAGATTCACTCAGGCTCACTCAGCCTCAGGTTCGAACTCGGTCAAATCCAGTCAGGTTCAGATTTCAGTCCGGTCTAGTTAAGATTTTGTCAGCCTTGTATTCAGTTTCAGGTACAGTCACGATTTGAGTCAGAGGATGAGTCAGATTCGGCGCCGTTGACTTCCAGCTTCGTCTGCGGCAGAATGACGACAGTCGGAGTCGGAATCTGGTTCGATCAGGTTCGGTCAGGCTCACTCAGGCTCACTCAGCCTCATGCAAGCCCGAACAGTTGTCTGGTTCAGGTTCAGTCAGGTCCAGTCAGAGTCGGTCAGGGTCTGTCAAGTTCGAACGTGACCCTAAAGTTTACTTAGGTTCAGGCAGTCAGGGTTGGTCAGAGTTTGAACCTGACCCTGAGGTTAGTCAGGGTCAGGTATAGTCACCGTTTGAATCAGAGGCCGAGTCAGTTGAAGTCAAGTCGGAGATTCAGCCTTTAGATGCTATCAAGAACAATTAATTGACGCACAGTATTCACCTCGCTTGAAGTTATCCAACTTTTCCTCGGCTTTTAAACAGAGTTCGGGAAGCGATTTCTGTTGCCCCATCTGCCAAGCCTTACCTACTTCAAATTCAGAGAAGCAGGAGCCGTCACCTTGAAACTGGGGATCGCTGGGTCACACCCTGGTTTTGCGGGCCTAGAAGCCCCGACTCCCCAGACCAAGGTCAAAAAACAAAAGAAGATAATGAAAAAGGAGCCCTGACCTTGAGCCCCAGCGCGCACAGCAGCTCGCGCAACTCCCCGACGTTCAGCACGCCGACCCGGTCACGAACATACCCCGCGTCCCGCACCTCCGGCGCCCGGGGCTCCCACCTGGGCTCCGAACCACCCCCCGAAAAACTTATTCCTCCTATGCTTCCGGAAGCCCCTCTCTGTACCTCTGACACCAAAAATCCGGTGCCGCTCTCGGTCTCAGCATCCCTGTCCGCGGAAGTTCCGGCCAGCCGTTGGCTCCTCCTCCTTGCCCGCGCGTCGAGCCCTCCTTCTGTTCCTCGGTTCTTTCCCCCGGCCACTTCTTCTGTTCCTCGGTTCTTTCCACCGGTCGCTTCGCCGGCACCGTCACTGCCCCGGTTGTTTGCCCCGGAAGCTTCAATGACGCTCGGGCCAGCTTCCTCTGAAGCCTCGTATTTTCCCCCGGGCCCAGAGTCGGTCCCGGGGATTGGGCTTTGGACAGAGGAGAGTAAATAGCCCCGGCTGAGGAGCTCTTGAATAGCGATCGGCACGTCGCGGACGTCCGCATACGACAGGTTGCTCACACGGAACCACGGCCCTGCAAAAGAGTAGCGGATATGATCAATCAAAATAAGCATCAAATAGGGAACTGTAAGCCGTGTGCGCCTCTGTAATTGGGGCGTGCTTGCCATCTCAACATGGACCGATCAGGGCATCGCATGGAAGGATGCTGAAGACTGATTGATCCGAGTTGGATCATCGACAATCTCGGTCCGGGATCGAATTCATTCGTAAAATTCCTTGGTGTTAATCAAGGGAACGGTTCGACGGATGTCAAGGTAACGCAAATCCGTTCCAACCTTCGCCAAGAAAAGTCTTCGCATAGCAATTGAGGGGTTGAGGAGATCTAAAAGCGGCCACCCGTGCAAAATTTCCCACCTTTCCGCTGAAAGAGCCGCACGACCAACCGCTGCCCCTCGCCGCTCACTCCGCCGATGCCCCGCAGCAGCGCCGCTTCATCGTCCGAAAACAGGTGTCCGTCCGCATCCAGAACCGTCCGCACCATGTACAAGAAATTGCCCTGGTACTTGGGCAGGGACGGGTCCGCAACTAGAGCAGCGCGCGCTCGCGCCGCGGCCTCACACGCCGAGCGCCAGTGCGAGTCAACCGCTGCCACGTGTCTCTGGCGGTCAACGTCTTCCGTTCCCTCCACTCCGCTCGGACCTCCCGCAGACGCTTCGAAGCAGGGAGCTCCTTCCGGTTCAAGTCCCCTTCCGCCCGTTCCGCTCTCCGTTCCACCCTCTCCTTTTACGCCTTCTGCTGCTCGCAATTCCGCACCTCTACTAGATCTCTCATGCGCTGCTTCAATGGCGCTCTTCGTATCTTCCCCGCTACCACACTCCCTCCCAACTCCCCTCCCCCCGCTTCCGTCCTCCGACGCACTCCCTTCTGCCCGCCCATCTTCCAACCGTCCCCCAATCCTATCCTCCGACTCCCGTCCTGCTTCCAAACCTCCCACCAGTTCACCGTCACAGCCGCCCCTTCCCTCACTCACCGGACGCCTTATCCGGACGCCCGCCGCCGCGCCGGCGCACTGCGGACGCACCGTCACTTCCCCGCCAAACGCCGTCCCAAACCGGTCCATCACCGGGGCAAGGTGCTCCGCAATGACAGCTGGCAAGTAGCCAATCACCCGCGGGTCGTCGACCCCCCCCTTCTTGGCAGGCTGTTTGGCCTTCGCTTCTCGGACGGGCTCGGTGTCGATTTGACGGGCCGCAAAAGCCTCCTTCGTCCGCTTCCGAGGACTCGTCCTTGTCGGTGCCGGAGCCGTGTTGCTGACGTCATCCCCGCTTTTACCCAGGCTGTCTTCTCGGCTTTCCTCCCTTCTTCTTCGAGGACTCCCGTTGCTCTGTGAGCCGTTAGAAGCTCGTAGCTCGCCGGACTCATCAGCACCCCGCCTCTTCTCGGACAGTCCCTGTTTCGGACGTCCAGAATCAGCAGGGCCCCTGTCCGAAGTAGCTTCCCGCCTCCCCTGCAACTCACTCTCCTTCCAGGCCCCCAACTTCGCATCCACAGCTTTCGCTTTTGGAGCGCCTCCAACCGTAACCAAAATGGCGTTTCCGTCCTTTGGATTGTCCGGTTCTCGGACTAGGCGAATCGGACGTCCGACAGTGCAGAGCGACGCCGCGTCCTCAAACCGCCACTGCCTCACAGCCCAAGTATCCAACTCTTTCGGCAAGTGCGTAGGTTCCGAGTTCGGAGGTGGGGAGCTCTCCTCCAGTGTAGGATCGCTTCGGAGGCCATTCTCGCAGGGACCCCCGGGGAATACAACCGGGCTATGAAAAGCTCCGGGGCGTTCAACCTGGCTGTCGAACTCCGAATGGCCACTTTTGAGCTGGGGCTCGTCCCTTACTCCCCTGGCAATCGGCACCGCCTCCCGACTCTTGGACCCTACGGGAGCTGGTTCCAAGCAACCCCGACCAGTATCGACGTTACAAAGTCCCCCTTTTGCAGTTGCATCCAAGCCCCTGCCCCCCCTGCTCTCCGACTCGTCACAGACAACACTACTCCCGGCCCGTTTCCTCCTCTTTGCACCCAGACTTTCCCCTGGTTCTATTCCAGCGTCCTTCCAGGGGTCGATCAGCGGGAGGGTGGCTGGCAGGCTGACCGACCGCTTGTAACCTGGGGTTTGGGGGCTTGATAACCCCTTGGTATCGGCTAACCCTTTAGAGGTAGTGCTCGGAAGGCTTTTGGACCCAGGGCCCAGCTTTGCTCTGGGGCTGGTGAAGGCGGCGAGGGTCGTCTGGGTGGTCTTGCGAGGAGGGCGACTGTTCGCACTGGCGGCGGAGCCCCGGGCCAGGCACGCATCTGTGCATTCGGGACCACGTTAAAAATGCTGTTACACCAATTAATTGGAGCTACCTCCACATTGAGACATTGCAACCTAAAGAGTACTCCCTGAAGTACATCAAAACGAAGTAACCAGATAGCATATGAAGCAGAGGCTGCCGACAAAGCCATTATTCAAAGCAGATGTGATGAGATCCTGAGGAAAGTGTGCTGTCAGAGCTGGTTTCGCCAAAGGCTTAAGGGAGATGCGACGATTGATAAGGGCCTGAGGTGCAAACGGCCGTTTTGCCATTTAGGCTCACACTGAAGATTGCACTGGCATGGCATGGTTCCAAAACGTCCTCTAATGGTTCCACTATTGTTGGAATCGCTCATCGAATATCTCAGCTGATCCTGGTACAACTAGTCAATGCAGAACTTCACATCTTAGAAGAATTGACTTTGCCATTCAAAATTCACTGGAGCTCAGCCATTCAGCGGACACTGTAGAGCCCTTGGTTTGCAGAGCGCTTGCAAAAAAGCTGTGAAACCAAGATTGGCAGCCATTGCAGCATATGCCTCACCGATATGTGCATTGATGGCGCCATCAGCGCCGGGCAAGCTCCGGCCGCAGATGGGACACGTCGGACTCTGATCGCTACTGGACGCATTCTCTTTGCCCCCAAGATTCACCCAGGTGTGCTCTTTTCCACTTTTGCGGGTGTTGTCAATTTCAGGCGACAGGGGCGTCGGAGGAACATTTGGAAGGTCCTGCAATAGATTGGCAGAGCTTTGAGGGATTTCTACCATAGGCTTTCAAAGCGCACAACGGCTCATGCACGTAGTGTGTGCTAGCGATATTTTGCAATTCAGAGCCCCTCCTAAAGGCAGCAGCTTGCAGATAATCAGGGTACCAGTGTGCATTGCAGTGCATAGTCAGATGAAGGAACCATAGCCAAAAGTCAATGGTCGCAGTTTGCAACGTCAGCAATATGGCAGTGGCAAGAACTTAAATCAAAGCAGCAGGTCAAGGACAAGCAACATGGAGGGGCAATCATCATAACCATGAAACTCATGACCAAGCCTCTAGAAGGTACCGCATTGTGCTTTTTAAATTCCTCCATTCCCTGGCAAGTTGGATCCAGCTTCAAGCCTCGATAGAAAGCAGATAAAAACCCAGCTTGACAGAAAGAATGACCAAAGCAGGATAAAGTTCTAGACGAGAAGCTGCACTTACACTTGGGCCGAGCGTGCTGCTTTGGGGATTGCTCTGGACTTCCGGAGGCAAGCGTCTCCTCTTTCCGACCAACCGGAGCAGAGTCTGATGGCCGCGCAAATGGGAATGCATCCTTCAACAGGCCCAGCTTCAAAATTGACCATTTGCCTTAGTGATGGACAGGTGGTTGTGTGTACAATTGGAAGATATCTCTACCACCTTGCAAGCAACCTGCCTTCTCTGCCGATGTCAACTCATCCAATTGCCGGACTGCACTGGCGATCATCTGGAATCAAGTTAGGCCAGACTCCGCTACTTGAAACTCCACGTGAGTGCCACCAACGCTGATGAGGCTTGAAGAGCAGCCAATGGCCACGACACAACGTCCAATTTCCGAGATGGAGCGCAAAGAAACAAGCAGGCCAGGGAGTTGTAGTACAAGGATTGCACAGAGATTCTAGTAGTGGACTCCTGGAGGAGGGGCTCTCGTTGGGGGAAATCTGCTCTTTGAGGAAATGCAGCAGCAGTAGCAAAGTTTGTCTGCTGATTCAGTGGACGAGCCAACCCGAAGCCAAGGCGGTTTGGCGCCATTTTGATGACGGGAGCGTAACCGTGGCCGGCGTGAAGCTAAAACCGGCACTGAGCCCACGCATACGTGCCTGAAGGCTAAAGGTTCTGTATTAGCCTAGGTTGACGCCGGTTCCAGATGCTTGCCGGTTTTGCTTCGACTTTGTCTTCAAAGCGCGGCGCACGTTTGAAGCGTGTACGTCTGGATATGCAATTCAACACTGCGTACACAATGCACAGAAGTCAGGATCAGCAGCCTTCTCTACAGACTACATTGACAAGGCGACTGCAGCAGGATTCAGGCATCAACGGGGGCGATAGGTAGCAGCAGCAAGGTCGCAAGTGGCTGCTGACATTCATGGAGGTGACAATTGCAATGCACCTCAAAGCCCGGGCCTGTCCTTTGGTTGCAACGCCGCATCTAGCGGGCGGCAGTGCTTCCAAGCGTCCGCTGCCCTCGTCTGCTTTTCTGCCAACGAGTACAGCGCAATTCCACTTTTCTACATATAGCGAGAGGCGAAGCTTGTTGGGCACTCAGAGGACTAGACTCCGAGGTACATTTAAAAATGCGCAGGCCAGGTCAGATGGGCCATCATTTGCTGACCGGCAGTTCCAGGGAAGCAAAGACAAGGGCGCAAACAACAAAAGCACGGTGGCGAAGGCGGCTGGCACGTTGAGCAGAGACATCAGTATTAAGCCCCTAATCAAAACTTGTGAAATGTGCCAGCACTCGAAGCCAATCGTAGATTTCTTCAAGTCTACAACTAGCGGCGACGGCCGGTCGGACGGGTGCCGGGCTTGCCTGGCGACCTTCAAGGCAAAGCGTGGAAATCAACAGTTGCATCATCTGAGTTTAAGCATAGACGAAGCGTGGGCGCAAGCGAAGGCGTGCACAAAGTGTGGGCTCGTGAAGGAGCTGCGGGACTTTTGTCGGGCTGTCAACTGCAAAGGCGAGATCCACACGTGTTGTCGGGCGTGCATATCAGCCGCGGACGCGCGTCGGCCACGGCATGTCCCAACTGACCAGCCGCAGCAGTGCAGTACTTGCTTGGAGGTGAAAGCAGCGGACCAGTTCAACGGGAATCCTCTACAACAAAACGGTCGTGGGCTAATTTGCAAACCCTGCAAATCAAAGTCAAAATCAGAGCGGCGGCACAAGATCAAGGAGGCTCGGGTCTACATCAAAAAGGAGATAAAGTTGTGCGCGGCTTGCAAGAAGGAGAAGCCTTCTTCCGAGTTCAATGTTGATAGACAGACAATGGATGGGCTGTTCTTTCGCTGCATGGACTGCTTGAAAGCATATCATAAGAAAACTTATGTTCCAAGGGGGAAGCGGAGTGGGCAACAAGAAGTGAAGCCTGTATAGGAACGATGCATAGCATTCGACTCCCATGTGACAGCTCTCAACTCGATTGTGACGTCTTATATGTTGAAAGTCCGAGGAGTTTAAGGATGGGCACCGTACAACATTCGGATTGTCTGCGTCCATGTAATAATATCTCAATATTGACCAGCACTCAACCTTTAGGAGTTGCCATATGAAAAGGCTATCAAGACTTATGTTGCACGCGTCGGGGCCGTGTCTGTATGTGCCAGCCCGCTATAGAGAAGTGGGGACACAACCGAACCGTCTATGCGTTTTCATTCTATAATAGGTGGAGTTGTGTAGCTATCATCTTCAATCACGATTGAATGGTTTCGATACATATGGATCGTCATCTATCAGGCCTGTCATGATCGGCATCATCAACGAGTCGATCGGCCCTACCATGTACGTTGTTGCAATATGCAATAAAGTTAATTGCAATCAGGGATATGTGGCCAACTCGATTGAGCACCTACCCCACCTGAAAAGCCGTGATAATTCATGCAACTGGGCCCAAAGACCGGGCCCGCGTACATGTGGAACATGTCACTTAGTGGGCCCCGTGATCATTGACTAACATCAGCGGCGCGCTATGGATCGCTCGCGTTATCAATGTGCGCAACACATCATTGCTCAGAGCGCTGAGCGCGCGCATTAAGGCCGCGGCGGCTTGACCATAGCTTGAGAACTCCTAGTCCCTGCAGCTGAGAAGATTAAGGCATCCATGCCGACATACATGAAGTAGTGAGCACTGAGGCTTCCCGACCAATGCGATTATCCCAGCAATGACCACAATTGTTCGAGGCCTCCCGGTCGCTTCTGTCCCGGGACCCAGGGAAAGATCGAACCGAATGTGCGCCTGGGCATGGCCACGACCATGCCAACGTTGTCAAAATATACATCCGCGCACGACAATCTGGTCCCAGGATTAACAAGGAGTTTCGTGCATATACAAGCACTGTAAACAGCTGCCGCCGCCGGCCAGTCTGGCGCGCTTGCAACGCAATGACTCCAAGGTAGTCTCAGCTGCCAAGCATTAAATATAGCATGGAGCCGCCACATCATGCACGTCTAAGCTCGTATACTCGTAAAACAAGCAAACTTTACATATCCTCTTGTGCAATAAATTCGACCTACAATTGCGCTAACTTCGGGGAAGTTATCAGAGACAACCAGAAGGCAGCAGCATGTGGCTACTACTTGACGCATTTTGGACAGTCTTCTTTGTGGGTTGGCCAGGCGCTATGCCTGCACACGTCGCTGGGAGAAAAAGGCACAAAATCAGGCAAGTAATGTTCGTGAAAAGACGTGTCAACTCTTTGAGATCGGTGAGACTGCAAATCAAGGCCGTATCGAAGACAGGGTGTCAAAAGCCCAAAGCAAACGCGATTTGGAAAGTGAGCCCTCCAAATTTGAGCGCAAATCCGTCAAGCTTACAACTATGTCAAGCTTCGAGCGCAGCAATAATCGAGAGCAGTTGCTACATGTGTTCGACCGTGGGTTCGACAAAAGAAGCATCGTGTTTTCAGACTTGCCCAGTGTCCGCTTGCGAATGAATAACGCAGGCAACCACGCAGACTTCTATCTGAGAATCGTAGCGTTTGAACGTCTTGACAGTCGCTCACAGGTCACCTCTGAACCAGAAATTTGATTCTATTGGAGTTGACGGGTCATTCAGCAGTTTTAGAATCCTTTGGAGTCTCGTTCTTGAATGTCTGGTATTATGTTGTCTCCTGAGGCTTACTTCTCGAACAACACTTCCAAGTACTGACGTTTCGCTGGATCCTTACCTGCAGTATTTGGGCCCTACATGGCAGTGGGTGCACCGCACGCAGACCGCAATTTCTGCTCCACACCAACCACAGTTGCCGCCCGACGAGGCCCCTGGAGGGCGCGTCAACTGCTTTTTCGGCGACAAACTGGTGCCTTCCACGCGCTTTGCGGCGACCACTTCCCGGAGAGCCGCCATGGCGCGGTCGCCCATCTCGGGCGCCACGACGATGCACCCAGAGTGGTGGCTGTAGGCGAAGTAGTCGGGGGGAGCCCCCGGCTTGGTGGAGACGCCGAGCCGCGCTTGGCCCTGTGGTGAAGATGAAAAGTTGAGCAAGACTTCAATTTTCGGCAAGTAGAAACAGGGAAAATGCCCCACTCCCATTGTCGGGGAGACAAAACAGATGGACGGTGATAGATCTATGTTCAAAGCAGACGAGGATTTGTCTCTTGGCGTCGATTAGGATTGCTTGGGCTACGGCCTCCAATCTTCGGCGAAAAGACACGCAGGTAAAGTCCTTCTCCAGCGGGAATACGTCAAACTTTTCCTGCATTTCCATTTACGTGCATCACTGAAATTCCATTCTAGTCCGGAGGACCGCACCGGAGCTCTCACAATTCTTCGTCGACGTAACCCCCAAGGCAACGCCTTTGTGAAAAGGTAAACGTGGTAGGCTGGAACTAACCAAGCGACTTCATCATTCCTGAAGTCGCTTAGTCATTACAGACTCGAAAGGAGTTCAAATTCTCTCGTTGGTCAAGGCTTCGCGAAGGCTTTGTTTAAGGCTTGGAAAAGGCTTGGTTAAGGCTTGGAAAAGGCTTGGATAAGGCTTACCGGATGGTCGCCCGTCTCTGCGCACAGCGGGTTGGCAAAGTAGAGCTGCTTCAGCGCGAGGCGCGCAAGCAGCAGCACCTCCTGTTCCGCTTCCGCCAGCGTCACAAGCCGCGCGAGCACCGGAATGAGCAGCTTGTCGCGCAGAAGGAGGCCCGTCACCTGTCAAAGATTGAGCATCTTAAGAGCCGCGAGTTGGTGAATCTGGCAAAACATATGGCGCGACACTAGGCCGGTCAACATTTTTTGACAAGAGGGGAAAAAGTCGTTCGAGATCCACTTTGAGCGGCTTTTCGCTTGTGCGGGCTTCGTAGCTACCCGCAAGAGAAGCGTGGGTGCCGCTTCGCGTCGGTTGCAGGCGGCTTGGCGGCGATCTGGATTTAGATGCAACGTCTATCGAGATACATGTAAGTCGCTGGAAATTCCGGTTCATGTGACTGCTGTTTCTAATTCGCACGCGGTGAGAAGTCTGTTTTTGTCCGTGCGTTTTCTGTTCCCTTCTTGTGGGACTTTTGCGAAGTCTGGTGGAGTACTTGTGACTGGTTGCGCAAAGAAAATGTTTCCTTTCAGAGACAACCAGCTACTGCAAGCGGAGTCCTCTTCCAATGAGGCGTTTGAGAGACTAGCTCCGCTTTGATGCGCGTTGGCCTCATACGACGAATTGTCCCTGCAAAGCTCTTCCTTGCGGAAGGGACGAGACGACCACCTGAACAATGATTCAGTATTGAGGCAGCTTTCATCCCTTTGACGACTCTCTTAGTTCCAACTTCGGCAATCGATATGATTCGACACTCTCACCTTGTCCATTCCCTTGAGGTCCGCTCCAAGCGACCCCACAACACTGAGCGCCGGAAGCGCCGCTGGAGTCGCGAAGAGCGGAACGACCGCAGCGGAAAGGCCCGCGCTCAGCAGCCCAATCATCAGCCGCTCGCGCTCATCTTTGCTCAGCTTCCAGCTGGCGCGCGCGCGCACAAACCCTCCCAAAACACTCTCCCCATCTCCCGCCATTCCGTCCCGTTCAGTCGTCCCCAAAACAGCCGGAATTCCGTTTCCTTTCGCTGATTCCGCTGCGCTCCGTTCACTTTCCGCTTTCTTGGTAGGGATCGATTCTTTCGGTTCCGGTTCTGCCAACGCCTTCGAATTCACAACGCGTGCCATCTTCTGCGGTGCGAACAACGCTCTGTCGCTGCTCGACGAAGCCGTACGTCCGTCTTGATAAGAGTAAGGCGACAACTCCCCACCGGAAGTGGGCGACCGCTCGCTGGCCGAGTACGGTGAAAGGTCGCCGCCAAAGTACACCGCTATTTCGCTTGTAGACGACGCTTCGTCCTCTTCGTCGCTCCCGTCATAAGCCCCACCTTCTAGCAGCAAATGTGATCCGTTTCCTTCCAGCGGAATCCGCCCGCCGTCGTTCCGCCCATTCTTCCTCTCAACCGGTGTGCCCAGTACCAAACTCTTCTCACTTCCTCCTCCGCCTACTGACCCTGACGTCAGGCGGAGCTTGTGGCCTGTTTCCGCGATCGTTCCGTTCGCCTTCGTTCCTTTTGTTTCCGGTTCTGCTCTTGGTTCCGGTCCGGCGTGACCCGGGCTCAGGGACTTTGCGACGAAGAGCAGGAGCTTGTTCAGAAGTGCGGCCTCGTCGGGGCGCGCCGCGGCCGCGCTGATCCGCTGAATCAGCGCGGGCCAAAAGGTCTTTGAAAGCTGCGGGTAAGGGATAGATTTGGCAAGTCAGCAACGAGAAGGTGGGACATTCGAAGCGGACGATACTCTTCTTCAAGGGACAATTTCAATTTGATTCGCAAGCATGAGGCGCAAGCTCCGGGGTCGGAGGAATAAAGTCAGAGACGGAAACGGGGGTAAGTCGAAAGCTGGGAGAAGCATTCTTTTGTGGTTCTGAAACCGATTCATGAGACTAAACGTTAATGGAAACTACAAGTATTGAATTGGTTTTGAATTGCAGCGGTTCTGGGGTATAACATCGAATTCCAGCCATTCTCGGTGATGCCGCATCAAGGATTTAAGTGTTGGAAGCGGCGAAGCGCAAAAGATTGTCCGGGACCTTTCAATCGCTCAAGCTCTCACCCGCCCTTGGTGATACTGGATAATTTCGCGGATGTGGCACCTTGAATTTCACGTACTGACACTGCGGCTATGTAATTCAACAATTTTACTTCACCCCGCAACTCAGATTGTGAACCTTGATGCACCTTCGTAACACGAAGCGATGTAAAGAGTGAAGAAGAAGGAAGGAAGCCGAAAGCAACTGGCGAGCAGCAAAAGACAAGGAAGACCCACAGTCCCCCTTTAGCAATTGTCAAACTAACAAACTCACTGCGTTGTTTCCAAGCGTGGGCCCTGACCTGGTCTATCGTCACCATTTTGTGGGCGATCAAGTGCTCGGCCGCTGCAACCGCCTCCTGACACGTGTCGCTCGGCGATTCGGCGACGGTTGCGCACACCGCGCGCCACGTGAACTCCGACGCCCAGAAGTCGAGCTTTAAGGGTTTAAGGTGGCGAACCAGGCGGACCAGCGCGCGGCGCGCCGGCTGCAGATTCGGAACAAGAATTTTAGATCTTTGATTGGCGAGGAGGGGTGATATTGGGCCTTGATTGGGCTTGTCACATTGAGGTGCGGAAATTTAGACGCTTGCAGTTGATAGTATATGAGCTTGAAATTCTACAATCATCTCTCTAAGACAGAACAATTGCACGAGAATCTGTACAATTTTGCGCCTTTGAATCTCTGAATTCATAATTCGCTCTTCCATAGTCACAGTTTTGCTCCGAATATGACGCAAAACAAGTAACAACTGCATCTTTTAGCTAAAGGATTTGAAGCGGTTTGACATCTCGTGCCCACGAGGCCCCGCAAATCTATCTTACCACAAAGCACCAGAGTCTCAGTTTTGGGCGGTCTCCTGCGGAGCATCGTCGGAGTAACGAAGTTTTGGTAGCATGCCCAGAGCTTCTCCGTTTTATGGAGTCTTGCATGTTCTACGAATTACAGTACTCTGTAGTAGGCCCCTTGAGACAAATCCCGAGGCCACATGTGCGAATGTGCGGCTGTTTTGGATCACGCTCAGACCGCAGACGAGGAGAGAGCGCAGAAACTCACGCTCACAAGCGTCGAATCACTTCCGCCCTTTTCTTCCTTCGTGCCATCTTTTTCTATCCGCGACGCTATTCTTCCGACCAATTCTGGCAATTCGTCCCCGAAACCCTCGCAGAACCCTGGCACCGGCGCCAGGTCCGCGAGCAGGCGGCACGCCGCGGCCGCCTCCGCGGTCGCCGGCGCGCGGCTCTCGACGAAACCCGCGAGGATCTGCCCGAGGCCTGGGAGTTGAGCAACCTTGGAAAAAAGGAAAGAGTGGAACTGTCAATGCCGGAGTGATGAATCGGCCGATGAGAGCGGTGAATATTCGAAAGATTTGCAATAGAACAGGGAGCAAGGAGCAGCTAAGTGCATACCAGACGATATTTTTGGCGCCTTTTCTATTTGCAACGGTTTTTTTTGTGAAATCGGTCGGATTGATTCCGGGTACCACCATCAGGCAATGAGAGCAGTCACTCCTGCTTTAACCATCGAATCTGGTCGAAAGGCCTGTCCTTTGTAAAGCTCCTGCAGACGCGCACTCTCATTTCCGATTTGGAACAAGGAACATATTCCCAAATTCCGCCATTTCAGTACACGCTTGGTTCTATCGGTACCTTTAGTATACTTTCCGGAAATCCTCAACTAGCTGAGAGTCCCTACCAGTCTCCAGCAAACTAGTCACCTTTGTCCGCAAAGCCTCCTGTTTCTGCAGACTATGCAGCAGGCGCATCGCGTCGGCGGCGACGCTCCTTTGGGGCGACCCTTTGGGCACCTTGTCTCCGGCTGCGGTCGCCAAGACTTCCAAAACAATCGGGAGACAGTCCTGAAAGTAAAAAATTGTAAGCTGGTCAGAAACAAACCTTGTAGGGACAGTCGGGCGCGGAACGGTCAGCTCAAGTGCGCTATCTCAGCGCAGCCTTCCCAGATCTTCAAGTAAATCCAGTTGGCAATTTCTCGCCCGAGAGTCACGAAATTCGGCAAAGGTTCTGGGACGGGAATTTCGGCAAACTTGAGTAAGTCTAGCAGGAACCCAGCATTTCAACCGTCAACCCTTGGACGTCAATCAGTGGACGGCGGCGCTGCCATTAGTGTTCGTCCTTCAATTGCTTTAGTTTTCTGCGGTCTATCCGCAGATGGGCGTCACCAAGAAACAAGCTCGACATGTATTTCCTGATTTCAACGATACAACATCCTGGAGGCAGGACTACAAAACTCATATCGCCAACGCTTTCACACTTGCATCCGAAAGTCTAGTTGAGAAAGACTGACCTGTTTCACGATCAGCGCCGCTATGCGCTGCCGCTTCACGCGCTCCGCCCCTGCATCCTCACCCGAGAACTCATCCCGGTTCTCTTCTAGAAGGTTTGCTAGTAACTTCACGCTGGAAGCCACCAAAGGACTGATGCTTCCTGATCGGGCGGCGTCCCGGTCAAAAGTAAGCAGGCTTCGGATGGCCGGAGGAACGGCTCCGTGCTCATTTACCAGGTAACCTGGCGTCGGGGAGGGTCCCGGTTAGATAAGCATGCAGGCCAAAGTTCGACACGAAAGATAGAGACCTCTCCCATGTATCACTTTGAAGAAAGCTAGAAGAATCTGGATTTTCACGTGAAGACGGCCAGAACTATTGTCCCGAGGGCAAGGCTAGGGTCGTTTCCAAGTCGATCGTTATTTATTTGGCGACGTCCCCAATTTGTTGCCTAAATCTTTGAAATACTCTCAACCCGCTTCACTGTGGAACTGCTCTTTTTGTAAGCAACCTCTGCAAGATCTCAACGAAGTTGAGATCCCGTTCGCTGCACACCTCAGTTGGATTGATCGGCTTCCTACTCCCTTTCTCGCGAATAGAATAAGTTACCCACTCGTAAGCCGCTCACCTAGCGAAGGATCCTCCGTAAAGACGGCCAGCATCTCCGTCGCGGGCGCCCACGCGCACTCGTCCTCTGACCGCAGCGCGAGGCACGCGGCTTGCAGCAGCCCGGAGTGCGCGGCGGCCTCGCGCGCCTCGGGCGCCGCGTGGCGGAGGAGCTGCGCGAGCGCGCAATCGCGAATGGCTGAGGACAGGGACGATGTCGTCATGGGCACCGCGAAGGCGGCCGCCATCGGCGTCTGCAGAGGGGTTACGGAGAAGGGCTTAAGGTTCGCGCCAAAACTTGGTTCATATATTTAGATATAAACTTGGTTCATAAACTTGATATTTGAGCTTATGAAGCGGGGAAGGATGAAGAAGGACGTTCTGGGGCATGAGGCGTCAAGTAAAGCTTTAGCTGGACGCATCCGTAATCGAAACTGCACTGCACCGGATGCATTTGTGTGATTAGACGTACGTTCAGCTACTCAACCGTCTTGTAACTGCTTCCATAAGCCTTCATTGAGATTCATAACATTAGGAACACTCAACTTCTTGTTCAAGGTCACTCGTACCCGCCGGCGACCAATGATACAGTCGGGTTACTTGGAGGAAACATACTAGGCTGTAATGGAAAACCTGACTCGATCCAACACTTCAAATTTTTAGCCGAAAGATGGTTGGAAACCTGCTCACTCAAAGGTAACTTTTGAAGTGAATTGCTCGTGTCGACAGGGAAGCAAAGAAGAAATGTGTTTACCGCGCTGCCGTCTCTGAGCATCATGCCCAGTTTCGAGAGCCGTCCAAGCGCGCCCATCGCCACGGCGTCAGCTTGCGCGTCACCGTCTCGGAGTAGCGACTGAATGAGCGCGGCCAAGCAGTCCCCCACATTCCCCGCAATGTCTTCACTCAATCCCTGACGAAGATGGAAAACGTATTTTACCGAGACTCGTTTGTGCGTAGTGCTGTTCTTTGGGTAAGGCATAAGTGGGGAACTTAGCTGGCTTGGCTTTGAAGCAGAACGTTATTCAGCTTGGTACTTCTCAACGTTGCGGCACTTCGGTGGCCGAAAGATGAGCAGCGGGCGCTGGAAATAAAGCCACTGCAAAGTTGGGTCAATTATGCCGTTCTTTTATATCCCACAACACTATTCATCCAGATTGGGATTAACAATATGTTCTCAATCTGCGACAACCGATATTCCTTGACATCACCACTTTTGCTGGCGTAAGAGAGCCTCATATCGACATAAGAGTACAATAGACCACATATCTGAGGCAGACTCTCACCTCCGGCTGCGCCCCAGCGACTGACCGCCCGCCCGATCTCTTCGCGCCGGCCTCTTTCACCGAGCCGGCAGGACTCTTAGAACGGCCCGGGTTCTTCGCCCCGGTCTCTCTAACCGAGGCCGAAGGACTAGAGGGAGCGCTGACAAGACCGTACTTGCTCGCCAAGGCAATTAGATCGGCCCTCTCTACGCATCCCTTGCAGCTGATCCCCGCTCCGCTTAGCAGGTCCTTCAGTTCTTTGACACTCAGCTCGGTCAGCGGCCGGGACGAAGGACTGGCTGCTTCGTCATTGTCAACCGTTTCGCTCTCAAGGTCCAGCGACTCAAGACTGGAGGCGCTGCCGAAGGATCGCTTGGGGTTGTCAACGACACGCGGCGGGCTCATTTGGCTGGGAGCGTTACCGGCCCTGCCGTCTTTTAGTAAGGCGATCAACGCCCCGGCCAGACGCTGACTCTCCCGGGCGGCCGGCCCGCTCCCGGCGGGGTGCGTCAGCACCCACTTCGCGTCGCTCTCGGCGCCGTGCTGGCGTGAGAGCGCGCGCGCGCGCGGATCCGCCGCGCAGAGGGCGACCAGGCAGCGGAGCGAAGCGCGCTGCGCGTCGCCCTCGACGTGGTAGCTGCGGGTGAGCTCGACGAGGCGGGGGATGACGTGGCTTTTCAGGATGACGTCAGCGGCCTCGGGCGAGCCGACGTCATCCCAGGCTTCAAAGAGGGCGGTCAGGACATTGGCCGCTTGTGCCTGTAGCGTGTGGGAGTTGGGCATGGAAAGAAATTAAAACCTATTACATGTAACAGGACACAGCAGTTTCCTGCTTGTTCGTTTGAAGCACGTTTGACCAGCAGCCTCTTGATCTCGTTGTAAACTTGACGGCCGACTCTGCGTATCGATTTTTAATATCTACTTTGCTCCAAAGCTTATGCCCTGCAGTTGCACTTAGCGGAAGGACGAATATGCACAAGCTTGGTCCACTTCTGAGTCCACACCTGAATAGGTTATAATCCCCTCGTCTACTAGATCACCACAGCCCATACATTTTGGCGGTTCGGGAAAGATAACGCTCACGGAGCGGATAGAAAGAAGTCGTTGATGTTTGCTGGTTCCTTCCAAACCATCGGCAAAATTCGTATGTCCACCATTTGTTACATTGAAGTCGAAGCCGAAATGCAGCCACAAGAAGAAAGAACGAGGCGCGAAGACAGCGGCGCACCTGGCAGCTCTCCAGGTCCCACGCATTCAGGTACCGTTGCTTCTCGCTCTGCTTCTTTCGCGCGAGAATCGGAAGGAGGACCGCCAGGCCGTTTGACTGCGGAGCCAGCGCTTGTAAGGTTTCCAATGAGGTTCCGCGTTGAGCGGAAAAAGCTAGGAGTCCATCGCGCTGGCAGTGTCTTGGGACTTTGAAACGGAGTTGAGCGAGTGAAGTAGTGGCAGGCAAACATGATTGGCTGCCAAGAAGTCGACCAAGGTTTTGGTAGACGCGGAGCCTAACCGCTGCGCATGACTCTGCCCGCCTATAACGTGGCTAAGGCGATTAGTCCAAACGATTCCGACATCAATCTCGGCTCATAGAAGTGCCGCTCAGCTTGTAAAGCCTATAAAAGACGCATGATTCGCTGCCCGTTTTTCAATTGAAGCTGGCCCTCATTCGTCTCAGTTGTGAGCTCCTCTTCTTCTGCGCTGTCTACTAGGCTGCAGCCACTGCTTTTAGGCCCCTCCAAATATTTCCAAGTGTCGCACGGCTACTGTTCTACGTAGAAGTACTGCTGACAATACCGAAATGGGCAAACGCGGTCATCATGACCATTAAACATGTGGAACACGACTCCAAGACAATCGTTGCGCTTACTCCTTTTACCGAAATTGTAACTTAGAAATACAGCAGATTTCTACTCGACCGTCTCTCCTTTGCCTATGAAGCTCGAGGGTTGCGTGACCTCTTACCTGAAGGATGCGCTGTCGGATTGAGAACCGAGCTTCCTCCGCAACACGTTCTGCTTCCGTGGTATCCTCAAAGGCAACAGCATTTGCGATGCTCGCTAGCGCCGCGCAGCACGTGTCCTGAGCCTGTATTAAAGAGACCAAAGAACTTCACATTTGGGGAAACACTTCGGGTTGCCAGGTTGGGTTGCCAGATTAGGACGATAAAGAACTCTTGTTATAGGTCTCGTCACGCTCGTGGCAAGCGCTTGCTGCTCCGGACTGTGAGCGGAGTCTACTCTACGGGACAATGTCTTTTCCCCATATGCGGTCAGATGGTAAAAGGTCGGATGAATGGGTAGTGGATGAAGACCAGATGGAGCCACTCACCTTGAGGTCTGGCGCTGTTTTGAGGAGCTCGATCAGCCTGCCAACAACGTCTAGCTCTGCTGGTACGCCGGTCTTAAGGTCTCCGTTCCCCAAGATCGACGGTACAAGCGAGATCGCCAATCCTGAATGGGGAGTGTTTGCATGTTCTAGATTGAGAACAATTTGGGCCAATATTGCTGCTCTTGCCTAGAGCTTTTGAAAGGCCTGATTGTCTGGATACTTTCGACAGTAGCGAAGTGGAAGAATCAAAACTTCACTTTAGGCCTCAAACATAGGATTCGTAGAGAGCAGATTGGATCTGATGACTTGTAAAGGAAATTTAGCTTGCCACTCGCTTTTCTTTCTCCAAAGATTGCCTACAGAAAGCTTTAGTGAAGGCACTTGACATAGAAAAGGTGTGATAACAGATGCATGATTATCTGGAGGTTGCATTTTCTTCGATCATGCTGAGCTTCTTACTTGCGATGGTGGAGTCGCGCGCATAGAGTGCGGCCGCTAAGACCTCCCTTGCAGCGACACTGGCCGCCATTGTCCTGGATGGGCCTTCAGTTGCCAAGCCCTGCAAAAGCAACCCAAGGATTGAGATTTTCATTTGGTTTAACATCATCTCTCATTGCAACCTGAGCAACATCATGTCAAGTGTCTGAGAAGAGGCACCGACCTTTGAGCTTCTTTGCGCTTGAAGAAAACCTCAAATAAAAGACTGGTGATGCTTTCATCTGCACCGCTGCCTAGTCAAAACGGTTGCTATACTCACATCAGGCATTTTCTCTAGGTGCGCAAACCTCCCCTGCCACCTTTTCACTGACTCATTGCATGATCAGTCTTCCACATTAGCAACCAGTGGCCCAAGACAAAGCTTCTATATGCAATGCTGCTATAATCAACGCTCACGCTTGAAAATTAGATCCGGTCTCCCAACAGGCCACCTTATCCTACACTTCAGCTATTACCAGGCAGCATGAGGTCCTTACCAACAGAACATTCAAAGCAGCTTCCAGCCCCGGCGACGACTCGCCCACCGGTAAGTCTGTGTACTCCCGGTGATCATGCAGGGCGGAATTGAGCTTGACTTTGAAAGCTTCCACTTCTTCTGCGCTGCGTTTTCCATTCTCTTTCCATGCAGGGGAGAAGGCAGTGTTGCTTGCAGCTGCCGACCGGCTGCTGGGGCTGGCTGGAAAAAGAAGCGGCATTTTGTGCTTTTTATGACTTTGGCAGGGGCTGAAAGTGCATTGGTATCTAGTAGATCCACTCGGCTATGTGGCCACTTAGCTCCCTGCTTTGTTCTTTATCACCGCAGGTGTTGGATGTTGAATGCCCGTTGAATGGCTAATTCTCTTGAGGCAACGAAGTCAATTGGTAGAGATCAGATATATGAGCTCGAGAGCTCGCGGCTAAGAATTGAGCTTCCTCATCATCTCTACCGGCAGGTGAACAGGATGCAAGTTAGCATGCAGCCACGGGCCTTAGGCTCTGCAAGGATGCCCTAAAATCTTGATCAGAGCCCTGACTAAGCTGGCCCTTTTCCCTGCTATTGCCCTCAGCCTCTGGCTATAAGTTGCATGGATCTACCTCAGCTTTTGGCCTTTGACTTCGACCGAAATTGCGAAAGTTCACCCAGAATCTGGATGTGTTGCAAACCGTGTCACTTGGATCGTGATTATGGAGCACCACAAGTCAAACATGATCAGAGTATTCTGTCTCCGGCGGCCTTTTTGCCAGAGGAGGCCCGGGGAGAAAGCGACGCGCGAGGCTGAAGTTTTTAGTCAGCTTGGCCCGGGGCCGACCAATATTTTGAACCGCTTCTTATATGGGTTCAGCATATTGAAAAACCGAGAGCCGTCGATAGCGGTCCGCGTGCATTTATCGACCGTCGATTTGCGCACAGTTTGCATTAATCAAGGCATACATGACTTGTGCAGCCTGTAGGCCTGCACGTAGGTGTTGGAATTCTAATTGTGGATGATACCATGCTCATCGTAGCAAGTGAATCATCTGTCGAGCACGCTTGCGCGAATGCTTGGATGCGCCAGTGCACATACTGGGCCAATATTGAGCTGCCAATAAATGAGCCTCATGAGCTGCCTGCAGGAGTGGCAGCTGGCCGGTTTTCAAATGACGTATAGCAACTTTTGGCCCATCTCCAAATCAAACATCGAGTCTGCAACCCTCATTAGATTCAAGATAATAAGTCTATCATACATCTCTGATGGTATGAAGAGAGTCTCTTGGAAATATCAGTTCCAATGGAAGTTACGGACCATGACAATGTTGCCACGTAGTAGCAGCTCGTAAGGACGGACCCAGCATTTGGATGCAGGTATTTGGCTTTTGAAAAAACAGGATGAATCGCCCTTCGTACGTGCGCGTTGCGTGCCCATGAAGCTGCATAAAGATGCATTGCGGGGGCATTGCGAAGAGAATCCGGGACCCACAACTTTCAAGCAATTCACTGAGGGGTTACTCCTTTTGTGATCTTGATTCAGACATATTTCAGGAGCCCTGGGCATACCAGCTCAAGGAAACCGAAACAGGAGAAAGACAAGTGCTCTGCACCCCCACCCACCCTAGTAACCCTCAGAACAACCCTACCCGTACTCCCCGGGATACACACAATATATACACTGAAATACCTCGTTTAGGCCGGACCCTCGTGCTCCCAGAGGATCCCCCTGAATCCATCGGAAGGTACTGCTCAATCATACGACGGGCAATATCTTCAGCAAGTCATCAGCAGCTTGCAGTATCTCCATCCGACTTCGTTCAACGACAATCGCTCCGAACTCGAAATCGAAGCCGAACAGCCATGATGCACTCCCTCGCGATGAGCTACATGCAGTATCGTCCACTTGCCTCTATGCCATTCGATCGAAGCGTGAGACGATTGTAATTAGTCGACGAAGTTGTAGCGTTACACTTACAGGTCTGTGTTTCTGCGGGTACATTCACCTGCAAAGTCAGGAATCTGAAGCAGACTGCTGTGTAGTCTGCTGCTGGAAAGTACAGTTGCTCTTGAATCACGAGTAGAAGGTATGGAAAAACAACGGACGACTAGAAGCTTTTGCAAAAGAAGGAACTCTGCGACCAGGAGGCAAGAGGCTCTGACGGCGCAGGGAAGACTTCGATGTCCAAAAGCTCTCTTCGACGTGGTCAGAGAATTTTCGAAGGAGCCAGTTTTGCGCCAAGCTCGACAAAATGGCAGGACGGTCCGTGGAGGGCAAGGTTCAACCTGAGGGGTCAGCACACGTCTATGATGTGAAGTTTTCTGTGCCAGGGACTATGCTCGAGACCGCAATGGCGAGCTTAGACAAGTGTCATACATCGCGCCTGACATGCGGTGTGAAGGATGGAAAGGTAGAGACGGAGTATACGGTTTGGTGCCACCCCAGAACCGGTTGGCGGCATGAGCTCCGTCTGGTAGGCTCAGGATCGTCGTCCACGAGCGTTTTTTCCTTCGAAACCAGGCTCTGGACGAAGGCTCCGACGAGGAAGTACCGACGCCTTGAGTGGAAGCCAACCCAGAATATCTTCAAGAGCGAAGTTGAGCGGGAGCTAGCGGAGAAAGACTTCAAGCGAGTCTCGGTGACTGTTAAGGTGAAGCTGCTCTACATGCTGCCAGAGGGACTGCTCGCACCGAAGAGAGATCTGGCCGGGAGCCTGCTCGCAAACGTGGAAGAGTCAGCGGACGTGGAGCTTCGGGCGCAGGGGTTCAGCGTGAAGGCTCATTCTTGCGTCCTCGGTATGCAGTCCGGAATCCTGCACGCATTCTTTGCCAAGAGGTGGGAAAGGGAGCGCCCCTTCGTCTTCGACTTGAGCAAGGCTGTTTCGGAGACCCTTTCAGAGACGGTGGTCCGGTCTGTCGTAAAGTACTGCTACACGCTGGAAGTTCCCATCATCAAGGATTCTCCGCACAAGATCGCTTTCCTTTCCCTGGCGGATGAACTCGGCCTGGAAAGCCTGTTCCGAGACTGGAGCAAAGACTTCAAGCTGACCGGGCTCGAAGATGTTCAAGATGTGATGACGTGGCCTGGGCTGGACTTGGAGCTCCCACACGTGAGTGCATTGAAGAAGAAAGTGGAAGAGCAAGCGGTGCAGCTGGGCAAAAAAGAGCTCGAGAAGCACGGGCTGGATCTCGCGAGAGATGTGCTCTTGGCGGTGAAGAGGCGGCAGGAAGAAATGGGAGACGACGAGGGACCAAGTGAGAGGCCTGAGGACGGGAGTGCTCGAGCGAAGGGGGTAGAAATTAGGCGTGAGGATTTTACCGCGCCACACAGGAAGAGAACTAGAAGGGGGTCCCTCAGAGGTATGCTCGGGTGCTAGAGCCGCATAGAAAGTCTGACGAGACAAGATTCGTAAGGTGGCTCAAGAAGATGTACAACGAAGTCGGTCGAACTTTTACAGGACGCTGTCACTAAGTGCTCCTTCTTGTAAATCTCCTTTGACGGATGCTACCCTCTGGACGCTGTTTGGTGGTAGCAATTCTGCAAATTGGTTCAGAATAATAGCTCGTTTTACCGCAGGAAAAAGTAGTTGGTATCCCACTTTTTCAAAGAGATTTACGTCCTAAGGGTGAGGATTTGCAAAGCTGCCCCCTACAGTAGTATCCGAATCTGCTTAGAATACAGGCGCAGCAGACTAAAGTCATTGAAAGGAGAGATCGTTCGAATTATGAGGCTATCTCGCGCAATTGACCACGAGCCTGGGCGACCTACAATCCCGAAGCCCGGAGGTGACTCAGGTTGCAACGTGTATTAAGTTTATGTGGCCGCGGAGTCGACTGTCAGCGTTTATAAAAGCTACAGTTTGCCACACATGCGATCCACGAGCCCAAGTATACATATAGTCACTTATCGAGCCGTGAAAACCCCAGATTCATCATTTGATTGCAGAAACTAAATCAGCTGCAGATGCGTCGTCTGTCGTGAACCTAAGAAATGTATTGCATGGTAAGGCGCACATAAAGGGCATACTACTAAATCGTACATCTTCAACATCTTAAGAGAGAGCTAGTCGACTTGTCAAGCGCGGCGCGGAGCTTGGAATATCTATACAATACCCATGGGCCTCTAATGCAAACGATGCAAACGATAAGCGTGCGCATCCGTCGTTCACATGCACATGAAGGAACGCACTCGAGAGCTCTTGAATGGGTATGAATATATCAATTATGAAGATTGACGTCTACCTACTAATTTCATAAACGCATTGCAATCCAATTACCACCGGGTAGCTCGCTTTCTCCCATGGGAGAAACCTGCACGCGATCTAGTGAATGAAGCGGCCCAGGCAGAGCTGAAGGCCATTTTTGCAATCTGCTTATTCATATGCTTCAATAATGCATGATTTCGACATGGCACGCGTGCGGGCGGGCTGGTGCGTGGACGCATGCATTGGGAGGGCGCGGCCGACCGCAACGTCGTGGCCGCGCCTCGGCATGTGCAAGCCCTGGCATGTCTTTGGATTGACGGGCTTGGTGATTTTCTGGCCGCACTTCGGAACGATGAACATACTTCAAAGAACGATTTGAGGAACTTGGCAGGGATCATTAATTACTTGGGATTCTGACTTCATTGAACATGAGCACATATCCACCGAACGTCGCGGTGCCCACAGGAACTGCCATCGGATGCAGCAGCTTATGTACACGCCCTATACCTTACCGTCAGCTAGCCTAACAACAAATGTTGCTCGATTTGCGAAGGTCCGCCAGTGCGCCGACAGGATGCGGCACACGAGGGTAAGCAAAGGGACGCTCGAGTTGGCAAATGTGATCGGACGTTCCATTCGGGCTGCGCGTGGCCTTTAGTCAATCTTTTTGCCGGTCCTTGTCGACCTTGGTATGAGAACCTCTTTGAAGTTCTCAAACAGACCTTGATCGTATATGTTCTTCACCTCAGGGATGGCCATCTCTACATGGTTCCTCCAGCGCGTCCTGGACAACCAACCCCTGCTTAAGCGTCTGAACATACTCCGAGAAACATCCCTCGCTCCCTCCCCCTTTGATAGACCCTTCTCGTCTTCTTCTCTTACGTGATTTTCCGACGGCAGGGCTGCCACCAATACCCCGCTATTCACAGGCTTCGTAGCGGCGTCCGCTTTTGCTTTTTCCAACGCCTCTTCCCGAAGCCACCGATGATAGCCCGCCCATTTGAATGTCTGCAGTGAAAGGCGGATCGATCATGACGTGCTCTATTGCTGCACTCCGTGACGCTGGAGTAACCTCTCGTAACCGCTTGCGGAACAGACAAAGTATCCGCGTTCGAGAGACTTCGACCTCGTTTTCCAGCAGTACAGGGAGAGACTCAAGGATCGGAAGCGACAGAAACTAAGAGCCGCGAGTGGCGGCTGTAGAGAATAAGCAGGAAGAGAGTGGGAGCAATCGCTCCTTCCGACGCATCAAGTGGAGTCCTAAAAAGCATACACTCCTGTCCTGAATACGACCCCCCTTCATTTTCAGCAGACGCTCTCTTTGCTGATTGAGACTTTGCTCCTCCAGTTGAGAGTTTGCGGCCTGTTGTGAATGCATTTCGGAAAGTGCTGCTTCTCAACAAAGGGACAACGGTTCTTTTTGGCAGACATCACCTATACGCTCAGATCCGGCAGCGCTCGATTCCGAGCCAGCAATACCCGGACGGGAGGCAGAACCCGAGGCCATCATTTAAAGCCGAGCGTGCCAAGCCAGTCGGCAGCACCCGTTGGAACATCAATCGGAGCAGAAAAAGAAGAGAGCAAGTTAGAAAACGCCAAGCGAGTTAGCACCAACCTCGTTGGTCGTTGTATTCTTGTAGATGAGGTACAGATGATACGTGGCGAAGCTCGCGAGCAGCCACGAGATGACGAGCGTGAAAGCGCCGAGCATCACCAGGTTGGAGAAGTACGTCACCAGCCACTGCATGAAGCAAGGATGACGTCAGTTGCCGAAGGAAGGGAACAGTGGTAACGTCAGCTTGACAGGAGAATGTACCCAACAAGATGGGAAAGCCTTGCAAACAATTGATCGTACCAAGGTGCATAGGTCTGACATTCGGCAAGCTGGCGAAGAGCCCCGAGAATGATAGTTTAAAGAGACGAAGCATGACGTCATGCTCACTTATGAAAAGTATATTGTTCATAACGGTTTGTTGGATGGACAGCTGTCCCTGCGATGAAGGCATCTAGCAACCTATGAAGGAAGCACGAACTTGGAAGGGCAATCTGATCGACAATGAAAATGGTGGAACGATACCGAAGCGCGTTCACAAGGCACCTTGTCTCGAGTCTCTTGCACACTTGTAGGAGCGCCGCTTTAGTACTCACCTGAGTAAGAAGGGCCGCCACACCCCACCAGCCTTCTTCCGGCCGCAGATAGCCTTCCGCTGCGGCAAAAAAAGCGAGCGGAATCGAGCAGCCGGGCTGTTCAGAACTGGAAGACCAACCAATACGCAATGAAAGGAGGCACTGAGCAGAGCTCAGGAGTAACAAAAGGCGCCGCGTGTGCCCGTCTTACTTTGGTGCTTTTCCGGATCAAGTCGAAGAGCTGTGACGGTCTGTTGATCTGACATACCGGCGAACAATGTCGGCAAGCACAGCGTTACGAGGATTTCGGACCACGTACTCAGAGGCGCGCAGGTCAGGAGTCTCACAAGCCGGACGAGAGGTATCCGCCAATGAATGTCGATACCACCAGCTAATTGCCAAAAGTCTCAAAAACAGAAGGACACGTGAAGAACGGCAACAGAGGAGGATGCAAAACGGCCCACCTCTGACAAACGGCAGCAAGTTTCGCCTGTCGACCTCGCCCCTCAAGATCTGGGCGATGAGGTACGTGCCATACCAGCAAAGCAATGTATGCCTGCGGCAAAGGGAGACGGGTCTTCGGGGGTCTGCTTCTTCGTCTTTTCGCCCCTGCTTTTGACACGCGTGCGGTCCCAGCGGGACATCGCACGAGAAGCCCTTGGACTCTTGGAACAGTGCAATCTCCACAGCAGAGCCCTGCGTTCTGGGGGCATAGGGAATGGTAGCAGTGCGGCAGTTTAAGGCGAAGTCTGAGCTCGCTCCAGATCCTGGGATGATATATTGCCACAAACATTTCCTTGTTAGGATCAAACTGGGGAGCCTGACCAGGAAACGGTGTTCGAACAACAATCAGCCCTGGGTTTTGAATGTGAGTATCGGTACACGCAACAATAAAAGCGGACTGGAGAGGAAGGTGGCAGGTTTCTTCTCACCCGATGAGAAACGCGACAAAAAATCGAATGTTCCTCTCCCCGATGCAGTTGTTCATCCAGCCACTGCAACGGAACAGCAGAAAGGGCCCGAATGAATTACGACGTTACCCTAATGACAATTCAGAGCCGAAAGCAGCGTCCACATCTATGATAAAGCTGGTCAAGCATTCGTCTTATCAGTCGTCAAGAGCTTATGCCTTATGTGCCAAGATCAAAAGTAGCAGCCTTCAAAGTATCTACAAACATGTCCGCTTAGCCACACAATCCAGAGTCTGCCGGAGAGGTACGTTGTTCTCTGTAACTTCCAAAGCAATCTTTAAAGGTTGAAAAGCGCGCACCTACCAATGGTGGTCGAACCTGGCGACGCAGCGGTTGCACACACTACAGTGCTTCGACCGAGCGGGCCTGTATGAACAAGAAAGAAGGTTGTTCCCATCGTACAAGGAAGGGCGAGTCCGTGTAGGACCTGTAAAGCCTCCAACCAGCGTTTTCAGGCGAAGGTTTCTTTCGCAAGGTACCCATGGTCCTTCTGTCAAATCGCGTATTCTTCTGGGCATCGTTCAAAGGCAGAGAGCTGGTTGATTCTTGGCGCGGAAGAAGCGACACTTCTCCTTTCACAAGGAGAATTCAAAAACCAATGCGCCTGCTGTCACCGGAGTATGAAACGACATCGCAGTCTCCCTGGAAATGTCTCCAAAAGTCCTGCAGATAGGACGGTTTTTTCCCAGCCTAGTACATGTTTCTGGAGCCGACAGTTCGTACGCCTGCAGAACGCAAGTCCCCTCTTCACTGGCCCCTGGTTTGAACGTAGAAGCACTGAACCCCGTCAAAAGCAACCCGATGAAAATCTACCTGGCAGCTGGCAGGTGACGCAGATCCACTTTCCTTTGACCTCAGTTTTCCAATATTTCGAACTAGCGGCGGGTCCTACTCGTCATCAAAGGCCGGTTTGTTAACTCAGAAGATAGCCTGTAGTATGTATGTACCCTCGTCACCAACGCTGCGAAGTGCTGACGCAGGAACAGGGGAACTGGTGAGGACTACTCAGGACCACCTCAACAGCGACGATACACATCCGCGACCGTGGCAGAAGCTTATGGCTTTCTAAGTTTCGACTCTCTCCTCTCCTACCGGTTTAAGAACAATTAGCAGATTTTGAAGGCCCAAATACCCGCAACTCCAAGAGCCCCAAAACTCAGACGCCACAGCCCACCTTGGCAGCTGGCAGGTGCCGCAGACTTTTTCCTCATAAATCTGGTTGTCGATCTTGAAGGCGCGCAGGTGCGCGTCAACGTTCGACGGGGTTAAGACCCCGGGGTCGCAGAAGCTGGTTAACAGGAAGGTGGTTAGGCAACCGAGAACTGCTAGTGGGGCAGTGTACCTGCAGAGAGATGAGTTTGCAGTTTAAAATTGAGTAAGGAACGATGAATCAGGAACTCAAATATCTTTGATCTTCTGCAACTTGACACGAAAGGAACCGGCAAGAGTCAACCTACATAAGCCCGGAATCAGGAGGCGTTGGCTATCTTACCTGTGTATAGCGGAGAGGTAAAGACCCGGGATGAGCGGAAGCGCGACAGTTGCAAACAGCAGCCAACCCCCTCCGATCAGGACCAAGTAGAAGATCTGTGGAAAACTGAGGGGTTTAGCATCACTCTCGATTTGTTCAGACCATGAGGCGATTGAGGTTTTCCAAAAGGACACGAATCTGGAAGGAAGGACGCTTGCAGTGTTCATTAAACCAGCAGTTGCGCCAAGCACCGAGTAACAGACTGTGTGTCTTTCAATGGACATCTTGTGTGCATGAAACACAAGTCCACTTAAACTTGTGCATGACTGATGTTGAATGGATTTTTTTTTTAAAATCTAATTGATGGGGTTGATTCAGATCTTTGGATCGGGCCACGTTCAACGGAATGTTTGTACCCAAACTTCTAGTTCCTTTCGCCTCTTAAAATCTGAAATGTTTGCCAGCTCAATTTCATACTTAGTTCCCCCTCAATCCACGACCATGCCTTCTTCCTGACATGGCAAACATTTGGGTATTATGAATATCCATCCAACCTATCACATGCTTCTCAGTTTCTACAATATAGTTCTGATTGGGGAGTGTATTCCATCAGAAAAGTAAGAAAGTGGCTTTGAGAGAATCTCGTGTGTTTGAGGCTTACCTGCAAGGCTGGGTTTGGTTTGTTCAGAAAAGCATCGCAGGCCCCTGAGCAGAAGCGCGCGGCACGCTCCCCGCAGGCGCGCTGTATCCCCACTCTGCAAAAACACATGACAGAAATCGTACCGGCCAGCATGGCAGCATTCGTCCGACTGACGGAGTGTTGAAAGACATTGACAAAGAAGATCTGTAGCTTACGGAGCTGGTAGTGCGGCGTTGCACTAAGTGGTCCCCCTTCCTGTTTCATTTTTCTTATCCCCAACTTTGTTCGCTAAGCTCTGTGTTGCCTCCACTAACCCCTGCTGTTTCCAACAAGCACTTGCAATGGTGGTGTTGAATTGTCTGAAAACTCAGATTCCTTGACCCAAGCGATGTGCCTGCAATCAATCTGCATTCCAGAAGGGCGATGTCACATGTGAAAGCAGAGTTGGCGAGAATCCTTGCAATCTTTCATAAGAAGGCAACTTACAAGACCTGTACTCCCGTGCTTTTTAACACAGTCGTGCTCATATACAAGATTGATAGTAAGAATGTTTGGCTGGCATAATCAGTCCTAAAGATGTAGCAGGCGCGTCAGAAATGTGGTGCTTACTGGATCAATTCGCAGCTCCGCGACGTTATAAAAGTGTGTGCAGAATGCACAATGGTGCCTTCGAATGCCGGTGACTCTCCAAAGAGCATGACGAGGAGAAACAAAGCGATGAAAGCTATGTAAACGCCCAGGATCCAAACAAACGCCATTTTCAGAGCTGGCCCTTCCTGTTCGAAACTTGAAGGTGTTTGTGGTTGCGAGTCAACTTGCGACCGAGTCCGGTTTATGGTCTTGTACAGTCTGCAAGCTCTGCTGAAGCCCCGGGAAAGAAACGGCAGGCTGGTCCCAGGCTGCATCGACATTTCCCCCGGCCACACACCTAAACGTTGTCGGCGTATATCTCAAGTGCTTGACCATTTGCTCCATCATCGCAACCTAGAGAATGGAAAACGCGGCCACCTTTCAGCTGGTCCGTTGTCCCGATGCCAATTTGCATCTGCTTATGAGCAGAGTTCTGCAGTCCTATGTGTCCCTCGAATCGGTGCCACGTGTACGGTTTCGAGCAGATTTCAATTGAACAAAAGGCACCGGGTGGGTACCTGCTGTCGATCAATCTTGCACCGGCCCGGTACCCAGTTTGTGCATATGCACCGCGGCACGAGCTGCGGCCGCGAGAGCACGTTCGAACGTCGATCAGCTGTACAAGGTCGGCATACCTGAAGTAGTGCTCACTACCTAAGGTGTTGTACAGAGGGGCACTGAACCAAGAGCTCATAAAATCAGCAAATGCGTCCTGCAGACGACCATGCAGAACAACTGAAGTCAACACACCTCGATCGTGTTTCGCGCTTCTTTCACATTTTACCTTTTCAAAACAGTGGCCAACTGTGGTGCTTTCGCGACTCCCAATGCCAGCGTCTTTGCCAGCAGAGCAATCCACTTTCTCAGTTTCAAAGGACTAGTAGTGGTCAGCATCATCTGGAGAGCTGTTGCTGTCTCTAAATCAGCTGAAGAGCAGCATCAAATTCATCACTGCTGCACAATGGGACGGTCTGGTGGCTTTCCGAGGTGGTGCATGCTGGCCATTCTCGTGTTCTTTGCCAAGAACGTCCAGTGTCAAACAACAGGATCCGCCAGTGCGCCTGCACAAAGTAGTAGCTCTGGAGCACCCTCGTACTTGGCCATCAACTGCGGAGGTCTCACTCCAGCGAGTGCCAGCATTCCCAGCTACTATGGAGGAGTCACATATGGCTCTGGGCCATTCTACCAGCCAAACAACTCACATGTTTCGACAGGTTCGGTTTCAGGACCAGTGGTTTTCCAAGCTGACAAGTACTACTTCGGAACAAGCACTAAACCCAGGCAATACCTTGGCTTCGCCCCACCACTGAATGTGCCAGACGGATCTCTGTACCTGACGGAGAGATATGGTCTTGATTTCCAGTAAGTTCTCTTTTGAATATGGGGCAAGTTTCTCCCCAACGTTCGCTCAAATATGATATTTAAGCGATGAGGCGTGAGTGATTGAGTGAGAGTATCTTATGCAACAATGAAGAGTGTAGCCCCTGACAGAAGAAGAGTAAACCTACTTGGCAAGAAGATAGGGAGAATAATTTACATCGGTGCCAACACAACGTCCTGTGGTCCTTGAAGATCAATCTTGTAATCCAGTGACAGGCTCCCTCTGGTACTCTAAGTCAGGCAGTACCCAGTGGTTTGTCTGAAGGCGCCCAGGAAGCCAATCAATAAAGTGTCCAGCTTCTCAGTTTTGTCCATGTTCGTTGACTACCTGTTGGTAGAATCCCCCAAAAACCACAGCTTAAGGGTTTCAGTTTGACTAATTGGAGGCTCCACAGGAGAAGGTGGACTAAGGGATCTGCAAACCTGCCAAAAGAGCAAGTATCCTCACTGATTGATGCTGTCCTAGGATCCTGGAAGTTGTCCTCGGAAAAATATAACAGTCAAAATATTATTCCAAAAACTGGACCACTGCTCTCGGACCACAGCGCAGTAATCAATTCTGGGTGTTGATTACTATGAGGACAAGATGCTCCTACCAAAACTTTGAAAAGCATACTACCTCTTTTGCAGGTATGAACTGAACGTTCCCAACGGCAGCTACAGCGTCGAGCTCTTCTTTGCTGAGACTCAATTCGACCAGCCTGGAGCACGCGTGTTCAGCATACTCATCCAGGGACAGATTGCAGTCGCAGACTTGGACATCTTTGCAAGAGTGGGGATGAATCAGAGCCTTATCATCACACAGCCAGCAGTGGTGTCAAACGGCCTCCTAAGGTGCGTGTAGCTGGCTTCCTCATCTGCTCTTGGAGCCTTGTCACTAAGTCCAACTAAAAAGACTCCTACGCATCTGATAATGTGAAGGGGCTTGGTTCTGTCCGTGTAATTTGGATCTCGACAGCGCCTTCAGCTAATGAAAGCGGTAAGCACGACAGCCTTGTGTACATGCAGAACTGATCAGCACCAATCTGAGCTGAGATGACCCTGGTGGTAAAAGCGACACAAAAATTTGCTGACAACTTCAAGATCCGCAGAACCCAATCAGGAACCTCAAAGCTCTGAAAACGATACCTACCCATCAGCTAGTCTTGTACTTTATGCTTTTCAGTGGCACACTGCAATGGCAATCGGCGACATCCGGACGGCAGAAGGATAGCTTCTTCTTTCTGGTTCACCTTGGCCTGCCTTCTCACATTGCCGAGTCTGTCTCGCACTGTCGAGGTTGACAGACCTTTATCATTTGAAGGACCCTCTCTGGTCCCAAGGCACCGACGGTGCACAGAATCCAGAGAGCCAGTGAGTTTAAGTGCTTCTCTTTTCTTGTTTCCTGAATCCATCTTAAGTAAAGTGTACACCACCCTCTGCAGCATCGCCTTCCAAACGGTGTCTTCAAACCTGAATGACGGGGAGGCGAAGGTGAACGCCATCCACGTATACTCCAGTAACACTGAGCACGTCCCCTTCCCCGCACCTCCATCTTCTTACAACATCAACGCAGGGTCGAGCGCCTCCTATACCGCAGCTGATGGCACCAAGTATTCTGCCGACTCCTTCTACGTGGGGGGATGTAGGTCATCCTGTCTTTGCTTGCCTCTGTCATACATCTCTTATATCTCTTGATTTTGATAGTTCCAGAGGAATCAAGACCAAAGTTCTTTAGACCCATACTTTTGCTTCTGAGATTTGCAACTCTCAGCTTCTCGCATTTAAGCTATTCTTGTTACACACGCTCTTCTCCATATCGTCTTTGAAACCGAAAGTCAGAAAACATCACGCTCTCCTTCGCCTTTTTTACAGCGACTTCGACCTTCACGAATCTGCTCTCTCCGGCCCCCTCTTCGATCTCCCAAAGCCGCGAACCTTCGATCTACGCCTACGCTCGGACCGGCGCATCCTTCTCCTACTACTTCAATCTGCCGCTGGGAAGCTACCAGATCGAGCTCGACTTTGTGGAGGACAACTACAGCAGGGCTGGCCAACGGGTTTTCACAGTGGCCGTCCAGGTACGCATATCTATGGCTTTGAGATTCATTTCTGGCTACAACATCCACTTGTTCGACGGAACATCCAGTTAGCCGACGGTCAGCCTTTCCACAGAGTGGGGTTTGCTAACCGAACGTGTCGATTTGATCCAAGGATACAAAAAGGTTACAGCTCTCGGAATTCACCTGCGCTACAAGCTCTATCATCTGCTTTCGCTCCACCTTGTCATCTCGCTTCTGATCGGATCCTAACTTCGCCACTGCCAGATCAGGTGCGGTTTTAGCTACTCCTTCAATACCGCAACTTGCCTGTTGGCGCACTTTTGCTGAATAGAAATCTGCCGTTACACCCTGCAGCAAATCCTGCTTTGACCCCTGTGGGAATCTTGCTCTGCCCCTGCGTTAACGGCTACCAAACCTTGCCTGAACCTGCTTTCTTCTGTTTCTCCTGATGCAGGGCGTGAAAGCGTTCCCAGCCATCGACATCATTGCCAACTCGACATATACCCTCTCGCCAGCCTCGGCTCCTGCCCCCAGTCCCGCAGACGTATATACACCCGCACCCTATAGCCTATCGACAGCAGCTTCCGTATCGAATGGTCTGCTCCGCATCGATTTTGCCGGGTTAAACGGAACGAACGCCACCGTCTCGGCGATCCGCGTTGCGCCCCTTGTCAGCACGACGAAGCTCACGCTCGCCGTAGATTGCGGATCTGCGATTGACGTCATCAGCGGGAACGGGGTAATTTTCAATGCAGATCAGAACTATTCGGGAGGTGAGCATGCGCAGAACAGCCAATGCGTTGACTTCTTGCCTGCTCCTCTCGTTACTCGTCAACCCATGCATCCGGTCTCCGCTCAACCCTCCCTTGCTTTTAATGCACGACGATCATCGGTTCTCTTCACCACTGCACGTTCAACACCCTGAAGTCCTCGGACGGGTAGCCATTGAATGCTCTGGCTTCATTCCGTACCACACCTTGGTTCCGTTTAAGAACCGCTGCGAATTCCTGACCGCCATAATCGCACTCTTGAAGGCTTCCTTCATGTCCAATTTGGACCCACTTTTAAAGTTGTCCATGTCGCTTGAATTGCTTCTCATCTCCACTGCAGGAGTGGCGTTGCTGACCAACCCGTATCAGGTCTTCCTTCCGTACAACGCTGACAACGACGACTTCCTCTACTCCACCGTGCGCCAGGGCAACTTCTCGTACAAGTTCTCTGTGGCCAACGGGACGTACCTCGTCGACCTGCACTTCGCCGACCTGAATGCGACAGGTGAGCGTCTGGAAGAAAGAGGGCCGTCGTTCTCCACTTGCTCTTTTATGTCGACGCACGACACAGATGCGGTACAAGGAAGCCTTGTAGCATACCTTTTTCGTTAGGAAGAGGCAAGGAAACAGCTCAATCTGCACGTGAAACATCTCAAGCTGCACGTGAAACATCTCAAGCTGCACGTGCCAGTCCCCGAGACTTGCACTGTGGCCTTCCTTGCATCAGTTACGCGTTCTTATCTTGAATTTGGTTTCACTTCACGCCGGGCACGTTCTGGGCAAACACTTTCTGCATGAAGGGTCTTCGTTAAGATGAAAGCTTGACGAGCTTTGTTTTGATCGCGCTGCACGTCAACAAACACTCGCTACATAAGGCTATTCTTGCGGAAGTTTGTTAGCCATCTCTCTCCAAACGTAGAAGCACTGCTCTTTTGTGCTGCGGACCGTATGCGGTTGACGTTTAACCCTTCTTCCTTGCTGAACGAATCTCACCACAATCCTGAGTCACAACCCGGTTTGCAGGCCCAGGACAACGCGTCTTCGACGTCTTTCTTCAAAACACGAAGATCCTGTCAAACCTGGACGTTTTCGCTCGAACTGGCGAAAACATCAGCGTCTTCATCTACCAGGTAGGTAGTCGCTTGTGACCCCCTTTGCGAACACGATCCTCTGGAAATGAGTCAGAATGACGTCTTTTGTAACGTGCATCCTTCAGAAAGACCAATTTCGACTTTTAGCCTCTCCAGCACAGAAGCTCTGAGGATCCGCCCCAATACTTCTCAAGTTTGTCTCTCTGGAAGTTTGCAAAACCTTCCGCGCTATAGTTCAAACCTAGTTTCTTATTCATCCCGAAACCTTGAAATCTTCTTGTTCTCCTGCTCGCCCAAAGGAGCCTTCTTTTTGAACTTTCTGTTCTGCAGCTTCTATCCTCCAAAAATGAAACACAACGCCCATTCTTCTGCAGGCGCCCGTCAATGTCACCTCCGATTTTCTGCTCATTCGCTTCCAAGGCTCCGACCTCTCGACCCTCCAAAACTTCACGCTCAGCAACTTCACGCTGGGGGGCACTAACTACATCAACACACTTTTGCCCCCTTTCGTCAGCGCCCTATTCATTCAACCGGGAATGGCAACCCCGAGTACCACTTTTACCCCTGCCCCTGCTCCGCGCACAGTCCATAGGTGAGTGTCAATACCAGGAATAGTAAGGGGCAGGATTTGCAAGCTGAGCACACTGGGTGCGGTTAGTTCCAGTCTCAGGGTGGGTACAGGTGCGGAACAGGTTATGTTTGGGGTTAGTTCCGGGGTTAGATGCGAGCTTGCTATTTCTGATCTCGACCGTGCAGGTCTCCAGCCCCGGCCCCCGGTTCTCAGTCGTCGCGCCTTGCCCCCGCGCCTCGCGGACCCCCCCCTCCACCCGGGCCAGTCGGACCCCCCCCACCGAATCCACTGTTTGCATTCGCCTACACTCCGGCAGACGCTCCGCAGGCCCCGATTTCACCGGTGCCCACGTTCGCGGGGGCGGCGACCGCAAATCCGAGCTGCCCCGCCAATGGGGCGCCACCTCAGGTAGGGTTACTGCTAACCAAGAAAGTTGTTTGCTGATGTTACCCGAAACCTCTTTGTTGACGTGTGTCCAGAGGTAGGGACTGCGAGGTGTTTTCCCTCCCGACAGGGCCTCAAATGCACCGGTCCCTGCCCCCACTAGGCGCCGCCCTTCCCATTTCAACGTAGCTTCCAATCCAAAGCTTCCAGAATCGAAGCCTCTGAAGGTAATCCACTTCTAACCCTCTTCAGTCACCAACACTTTTCCTGACAGGGCCTCAACTGCACCGGTCCCTGCCCGCTCTGGTCGCCGCCATTCGCCTTCAGCGTCGCCATCAACTCCGCCGGGCCTCGTTACGTGTCCAGCTGCGGAGTGGTTTTTGAGGACGACTCCAACAACTCGTCCCGGTGCAGCGATGGCGTCAGCAGCCTGACGCCCGTGACGCAGGCTGGCATCATGCCGCCCGGTCGGACCTGGTGCAGGTGAGAGACCTCCGTGACATATATTTCTGGGAACTGGCAGCAGCGAGTATTTTACTATCTTGGTTGGGTAAGCCCCACTGAATTTTCTTTGATCGGAGTTGATTCCAGGCAGCTTCTCATGTTTTTTGTGCGCCATCAAGTTTTTTTGCGCGTTCTGTGCATCCAGAAAAGGAAGGAGAGAAAGCGGAAGCAGGTGATATTGAAGAGGCTGACTGTTCCATAGTTTGTGGGAGCTGCCGGACCTGCCTGTCTGGGATAGGGGCTCAAACTTCAAGAGTGTCTCGTGTCAAAATCTTCAAAGTCACGAAAGCAAGTTCACGAGCTCTCAGAAACAAGGTTTGCAGAGTTTCCTTGGTAGATCGAGCTCGTTGTCGACCAAGTCCCTCGCTAGTGCTAAGAGCGCAATGTTCTGACCTTAGAACCTCAGTTCCTCGTTAAAGTATTTTGGAGCAACTTTGGTATACAGCGGTGTAAGTCTGCTAGAGGTTTCTGCTCAGAAAATGCTCTTGACGCCTTCTTCTGCCCCTTTGTTTTCAACGATCGCAGTACCCACTATTCGTTTGTCTTGCCCTCTTTCTCAGTGAGTCGTAAACGGAAACTTTCGCTCCCTTTCGCGCAGGACCAACATCAAGGGCCCCACGGGCGGCTACCAGTACGACACCCCCAACGGAATCTTTGACACGTCCGACCCCACCATCTTCCAGAGCGAGTTCATCGGATACAACGCCTACTAGTGAGTCTCCGTAGCTGCAGTGCTTGCTTTTTGGAGGTGAAGAAAAGCCTGCAGTGCGTAATAAGTCTATCGGGTGCTATGCCTACCATCGACTATGGACTGCTGAAGTAGAGAGGAGACGAAAATAGCACCCTAATCGAAGTGATGATCTAAAAAAGCGAGGAGACGTTATCTTGAAAAACAGTGGAGTTCCCCAACCGCAGAGTCATTATCCTCTCTTCACTTCAAGCCATTGGTCCGAGTCTATTCGCCTCAAATTGTCCACCTCAGCTTTTTGAACTTCATTGCAACCGCCCGCCAAACCCCCCTACTTCCCAGCCTCGGCATCTTCTACGCGACGCCTGTTCTCCAAAAACACCTTTCTTCCCGCCACATCTCGACCTCTATCACTACCGATGCCTTTACCTTCCGTAAACTCAGCACGTGGTCACTTTTGTATGACGTATTTTCTCATTTTTCTTTACTTATCCTGCAGCATCCAGCTGCCCACCCCCGGCATCTACTACGCAACCGCCTACTTCGCCGAGATCTCGCTCGGCCCCAGCAGCCCGACCGTTGATGTGAACAAGCCCGGTCTGCGCCTGTTCTACGTGCACTTCAACGGCGACAACTCGGACGCGATAGGGCCCATCGATCCGTTCGCGCTGGCGGGGGACGCCAAGTTCGCAGCGGATCCATCACAGGGAAAGGTACGTTTGTGCCGCTCTTATAAACCCAAGAGCTGTTGGTTTCCGGTTCTGGATTATGAAGCTACAGTAAATTCTTTTGAAGTGCCTCACTTCTTGGCATACTGTGGTTACTGCTTGTCAGTCGACGAAACCGGGGAGCGGCGGCTTGACAATGCATTGAGGATGGCTGTTTTGTCTGTCACTCCCAAAGGCGCAGGCGGGTGTAAATAGGCAGCGCTTTCTTACCCAACCTAGGAGGAGTTTACTATTAGGCAGGTCATTTTCTCAGTTTGTATCTTACATGACACCTTTGCATCCCGTCTTTACCCAATTCTTCATCAATCTCAAAAGTACTCAAACTTAAATGAAAGGATTGAAGTTCGAATTTTCGTGTCTGCTATCAATCTCCTCGTTCGCGAGGTCTCCGCTTTCGACATAATATTCCTTCTCTTTGCAGGCGGTCCAATGCGACACCAACATGATGTCGATCCAGTTCGAGGCCGTCTCGACCGGCCGGGATGCGCCCAGTGTCAAAGGCATCTTCGTATACGGCCCCGTCGAGTCTTTGAGTTTCAACGCACAAGCGCCGCTCGGTGCACGACCAAGTGGCCAACCGAGTGCCCTCGCCCCGCCTCCTTCAACCGGGTCTGGTGCGTCTAGCCCGGTTTCAGCGGGCGGTTCGGCAGCGTCCGCAGCGCCCGCACCCGCTTAATCTCCATCATGTTGCTTTTGGGAAGTGGCGGTAACGAGTGTCGGAAAGTTGTGGGGGAAAATGTGTCGAACAAGACAGGTCAGGTTCAATTTGAAACTTTAATCGAGGTGCAGTGTCAGTGTTTGACTATGCTATATTTGTTTGCACATCTGATTGAATAATGAGAAGAATGTTGGGAAGAATAATCTTTGACGTCGAAATTGTATCATAAGGGGTAAGGATGTTGGGCGAATGTCCTGTTTCAAGTGTTCTGGTCAACAATATCTGTCGAAACCAACTTTTTACCTCGAAGTGATTGTCTGAACGCTTTTGCAAGCGAGAGAAGAACTTCTCTTAACATGATGGCTTTGAGGTCTATGCATATGGTTGCCAATCACAGGGAATGCTTGGTATGAATCAGACCACAGAAAGGTTGTTACTTCGGCCAGTGGAGAAACATACATGTTGACTTCGTGCTGTTGAATGTGCGTGTACGAATCGCATGATTGCATGAATGGGTGCTGTCGGCTGGCGACTCAGTAACATCAGTTTTGCAGGGGCATCGCAAAAGTGTCTGCTGACAAGTTACACCCATTCAAGCGCTCGAAAGACGCATCCACCCATTCGATTGACATCAATGAAACCGAACTGTAAGCGTTTGAAAATCTGTGTCCTGGAGCAAGTTTCATAAAGCGATTTGTTCACGAGGTCGAACGTGCCGAGAACAAAAGCGTTTGACAAGCCGTGCCTATCAGAGCAGCCGCCCGACAGCGAACGTCCACGTTGTATGATGGAACGGCAGACCCTCTCCAAAGCTTTCGCTTACCATGCTGCATCATGCGAAGGAGTCCTACAACTAGGGGCTTAGAGATCCGACGGTATTCACGAGCTCGACTCAGCAATCCGAGCGGACGGCGGCCTATTCTGCATCGCCCGTCCCCCGGGCAGTGACGACAACGGCCGCGCGCTCGCGAGCGCGATCGGGTCATACGTCGCCTCCCCTTCTCCCCCCTGTAGAAGCCCCCCCCGGCCGCTCCTGGTAGGCAACCGGCTGCCTCCCGCGAGCTTCGCGTTTGGGGGGTAGATCATCATGCTTTCCGAGTGCATCGAAGCCGCGACGTCTACCCCCCCGAAATCGAAGCTGCTGTTGATGGGCAGTAACGCCAGCTCAAGCCGCCCCACCGGCGACTCTAAGCTCAGCTTCCCGGAGTCTGTGCTCCGCGCCAGGGGGGAGGCCCCGAGCCGCATAGCGTATCGCACCTTCTCGAGCTCCGACACCGCGGCACGTGCCTCAGCCTGCGAGCTCAGCGCGGCCGCGCGCAGATCGCCTAGCTCTCTCTCTTGCCGTTCGAGTCTGAGCATCATTTCCATTTGCTCCTGCCGCATCTGCATCTGGAACTTTTCCATCTCCGAGAAGCCTCCTCCCGGTGAATGGCCGTCGGCCACGTGGCGCCCCGGTCCGCCGCCCACGTGGCGGTCCGGCGAGTCCTCTTCCGCGACTCTACCAAGTGCGGCTCGTCTGCCGAGGGGCGACTTGCTGACTGGGGGATCGTACAAGTGCCCTCTGAACGGACCTAAATCTGGCCCACTTTGATGTCTGCCAAAGCTCTCCTTCTCTACTTCGTCTCTTCTGTCCGTCAAGGCGTTCGAAAACGATTCCGTTCCGCTCGCGGCCGCGTCCAGACCCTCGTCCGCAGACGTTTTATGGTCTCGCCCCGGTCGCCGTCGCGGCGATGGCGCGGCCGGCGGCGCTGCCGCGGCCGGCTCCTCAAAGGCCTTGTCAAGACCCTTAGACTTGATATCGTCACCGGAAATCTCAACCACCTGTCCGCCGCGGGGCCTACCCTTGGCCGCCTTGCCGGCGGGCGCGGCCGCAGTAGCGGCCGCGGCTTCGAATTGCGTCGCCTTAGCACGCGCTTTGGCCTGCTCGGCTTCGAACGCGGCGCGCATTCGCTCCTGGTCGAAAAATGGAGTTGATGCTTAAGAAAAGCCTCTTTGAAGCCAGATCATCATTACAATCTGTCTAGCTGGCAAACTCGACTGATAATGGGCGCCTGAAAATACTCTAATCCCCGATCTTGTCGTTGTGCTGTGTCGCAAAGCTTCTCGCACAATTCTGAGCTCCTCTGATGCTCTAACAACCCCTAAACCCTTGCCTGGTCCTGCGTCGTTTTGCGCTTGTATCAAAGCGTTTCGCACAACGCCGAAGTATCTACCACGGTTTGCGTCAAACCTAGTAGCGGTGCACTCTCACCTTAATCAATAGCCTCGAAGAGATCAACATTGATCTCTTGACAAAGTTAACGGTCTGAGACCTTAATCTAGCATTCAGGGCTGAAACTCAATCGGTATCGCTTTGACGCACGCTCCTCTTTAAGAGCATTCGAAACCTGACCTGTTCGTGCGTGACCTCGCGCTCCATTACAAAGCTTTAACTCACGACCCTGTTCAGATCTCGACGCTCTTTAACCCTGTAAACCCTCAATTGGTCCTGTCCCTAAGCTAGCCGCAAAGCGGATGGAACAACATCTTCAAATCTGATGCGTTGGAATCAATTTTGAAGGATATAGATGTTGATTCCAAAGACGTCCGGAGAGAGGGGTTTCTTAAGTTGACTAAGGGTTTCAGTAGCTGCCTCTAAAGCCTCACCTGGTCCTGCGCAATCCTGCGCTCCTGTGCCTCCTCCTCGCGCCGTCGCCGCGCGTCCTCCTCGTCTTTCCGCCGCTTCTTTTCTTCGATCTGAGCACGCAACTCCGCCTGAACGCGCTCCTGAGAATAAAAGTACAAGCTTTTATGAGTTAGAACCCCTCCCCGCGAGTACTTTGTCAATATGCGCGCGCACATTCTGCCTGGATGCTCGTCATAAGTATTTTGAAACCTCTAACACTTGCTATTGGATTTCGCTTCCTTTCCTCAATCGGCCCGTCGATGCCTTTGGAGGGAAGAGAAGGGGAGCGTCATCTATCGTTCGACCATCAACCCGGTCTCTCTCTCTTTGGCGTGTCGTTTGGGTTGCGCTTGTGGAGGAAAATTGGAAGTTACTAGATACAAACGGCTTCAGGTTGCCTTTCTCAAATGAACCCCCCCACCCGTCTTGAGGGCCTCCTCTAATCATGTAGTACTCTCTTGCTCCGCGTGTCAGGAAGGTTTTCCGATCAACCGCATGCTTGATCTTCCACTTTTAAACATTGAAGAGATATCTCGTTGCCACTTTTTTCTGATCCTTGAAAAGAGCGTCATTTTGTCAGGCGTGCAAATGTCTGATCTTTGAGATGGATTTCCGATGATGCCTTTCTTGACCGCGCGCGCCCCCACCTTGGCTGCCTGCTTCTGCGCGAACTGCGCGCGCTCCCATTCGGACATCCGCTCCTGCCGCATGCGCCCGTACGAATGGTTCCCGCCGTCCGCGTCCTTCGCACCGTCCGAAGTTTGTGACGTGGGCGAACCCCAGTTTGCGTCCTTTTCCTCCTGCCACGCCTGCCCGCTTGCGCTTGTTTGCTCAGCAAAATCCTCCCGGGAGGGTCCCCCGGGGGGTGACCCGACGCCCCCAAACCGGGGGCTCATTGTCTCCCCGGCGAACTCTACCGACCGTCCCAGGGGACTCGTCACCCCGTTCCGCTGCTCCGCCCCCGACGTGAAGTGGTTCCGCCGCCGGAAATTCGTCTGTTGCTCGGCCGGTTGGAATCCACCGAGGCCCAGCGCTCCTGACGATCCCGGGCTGGAACCGGTTGCATAGTGCCCGGGGGAAGCCTGGCCAAAAGTGAGCTCGATTTTATGTTGATTGGTTAAAAGCATCTCTTTTGGACCGGACGGTCAGCCTCCAACGAAGTATCATTAAAATTTGGAAACTCTGGGCTCCACATAGTTGGGCACAAGCATTGCTTCCGGCCAGCGACCAAAATACTTTTGACAGTCGATGTCAAACCAAACAATATGTAAACCTATGAGGCGAGAGTGGACTATAATCGCACTCGCGACTCTATTGAGTTTTGAATGTCCGGGGGACGGTGGGCTCGTTTGGGCATTCAAGGTGGATGTGTTCGTGGAGCATGGTACATGTGGGTGTAGGCTTGCAGTGTCTTCAAGCTCGGATACCTGCTTTCACTCAACAGAGGACGGATAGGCCTAACTCAACGCGAAGCCTGTCATGACCAACTTACCTGGTCAGGCTGCGTTCTCCTGCCCCGAAGCTCGGTAATGATTCCCCCGGTCGGGTCTCGGAGGGGCGCCCCGCCCCCGCCCCGACCCCAAGGGTTGTATGCTGCCGCCTCTTGTTCTTCCCGACGCTCCCGGGCGATGCGCGCTTCGCGTTCCGCGGCTTTCGCGCGCGCCTTTTCCTGGACCTGTCGCTCCAGCTCCATCGCGTATTCCTGAAAGTGATGAGCAATAGAGATGTCGAACACTGGGGCCGTCTCCGGAGTTCGCTTAGCCGCAATTTGCGCGCGCTTTGTTCTGGAACCTGCTACTCCAGTTTTATCGCGTATCCCTGTAAAGCAGAAGCGATTGGGAGAAGACCAGAAGTAAAAACGCTTGACGTGCCGCGTGGGGATAGGCTGCCTTCAAACCGATCTCTAGAATGTTACATTTTTAGGTTTTTCGCTGTCGAAAAGGCCCAGCTCATCCTCGAGACTGGGATCAACGTAGGCTTTCATGCTTTTGCTTGAAAGCAAACTCTCAAGCGTTGCTTGACGGCACGCAATCGTAGCTGTGTCCGTGGTCACAGTGATGCTCGCGTCCTTTCAACGCCGCTTGCTCTATTTGCGTCGGTGATTGTCCGTGGTTAAGCGGCAAAGAAGGCTCGTTTCGGTCATGCGAAAACCTTGGATGGTCCCATTCCTATCCCTAGAAAGCTCGCTTCCGATTGTAGTAATGTCTGAAGACAATCCAAACGGCCCTCTCTGTCCAGAAGCGGATTGGAATTCGGAATAACGATGAGCAGACACCTTGACGTCACTGGATTCAAGACATCCAAACGCAAGCATTTCCTGTCCCGCTTCGCGTCATTGTCAGCGAATCGATGGGTAGCATTCGATGAAACGGGTTCGACTCACAAACGAGCACAAGTTAAATTCATCAGAGCGCATCAGGGCATTAGCTCACACCTTCCTTTCAAGTTTTTCCCCCCTATTTCCCCCCCCTTTTTCATATACCCACCTGCCGTCTCTGCTCTTCTCTCACGCGATCTGCTGCTTTCACCCCGTGCAGATCCGCCACGCCACTCATGAAAGTCCTCGCTTTCGGAGGGGACACCGACTGCCCCGACTCACCCCCCCACCGGGAATCAGGAGACAGCGTCTGGCTCGCCCCCCCGGGCGACCACGGCTCGTTCTGGCTCTGCCACGTGGCGCTTGGGAGCGCATTCACACCGTCCGCTGCCGGCGACCAGTTTTTCTGGCTGTCCGAATTCGGGGACAGCGTCGAATTGTACGGCGGGCTCCGCCCAGGAAACGAGCGCTCCGCGTTATAAGCCTCTGGGCTTCGCATAGGGTATGAGCGGTCTGCGTCATAAGCCTCCCGCCCTTGATATGACAAATGGGGGGGTTGCGAATACTGTGGTGACAAGCTGTCATCCGGCCCCCCGTTCGCATTTGCGAGGACCGCCCCCCCGTCAGCTAGGAGGCGCCTTTGGTGGACTGTCTGCGGATTTGCCTCGAAAGGGCCGCGCGCGCCCCCGCCGTCCTTCTCCCGACGGAGACGCTCCTTCTTGTCTCGGATCTGCTGCTCTGCAAAAATCCATTATCAAGAAGCGTATCAAACGTCGAGTCCCCACCAAATAATGATACGTCCTCATCTGCAATCATGTTCTTCCCTGTGTCTGGAAACTGATGCTAAAAGAGTCCCGATAAGATGTTAGGAACCGGTTGCTGAGTACGTGTGCGAGTGAGCAAGTGGCCTGTCGCAGATTGTATCAAAACGTCCTGCATAACTCTAACTGCCTATTAGATTCATTGCCGTTCTAGAGCGATGCCAGGCTAAAAGGATATCACTGCACAACTCTCTCCCGGCCTCTTGTTAACTTTTACCAGCCTTTACGAGGCCTTGTGAAACTTCTATTGTTTCATATTGACATCGTAATGCAGAACTGATTGACAAAAGAGAGATGGCAATTCAATCAAAGGGAGATGGCAATATCCTAAGATCCCTTCCGATGTCAGGTTTTACTCTAAGAGGCCCACGCATTGGCTGAGATTCTCCAAAGAGTACAAACCTTCAGGTTCAGACCCAGAGACTTTACTAGCTTACAACTTTCTCTTGATTGCTCAGAAGCGCTAGAGAAAATCGGGTTAACGAGCTCAATTACCGGCATCTGAAAGTACTTCTCTCCAGGTGGAACCAAAGACGAATGAAAAATAAATCACCAGGCTGCTTGGCAAAAGCCTGCAACAGACTCCCTACGGACGTCCAATCAATCTGTAAAATTGACGTCCTCAGGAGGGCCCTTTTAATGGAGCTAAATCAAAAGGCCATCCCAATTAAGCTCCAAGGATCCTAAAGACGTCTGCAAGGGGGCTCTAAAGCGCCAACAAAGCAATCCCAGCTCTCTGCAAACTGGCGCAAAGCCACTCATTGTAAAATTCGTTTAGCAGATGTGACCCTGCTCATGGTAAAGTTAGGAGTAAGGTGCCGGGCCGAGTAAAGTTTCCTCTCTCTAGCTACCGAAACTGTCTCACCTAGCTCACGGGCATATCTGGTCTTCTGCTCCTGCTTCTCCAGGTAATCTGCCGGGAGCCCGCCCGAGTGCAGCGTTGAGAGGCTGCCGCCAAATTTAGCTGCCATTTCTAGTTGCTCAACTTTTACCCGCTTGAAAAAGCATGCTTATAGATTCCTGTAGCCGGCTCAGCATTCATCGGAAGAACCACAATCTTGCGTTGCTAGCGTGAAGCTCTGTCACTGATTCAGGTTCTCTAGACAAAGCTGTGCTCTGGCTCACGTGTGTGATGATACTTATGGAGCTTGACTTAGTACGAGGAAGTAACGTGCTTGAAGCTCTTCGTTCGGTTTACCATCAGATGCTGAAGCACTTCATTGCATGTTTCCTTGGGATTTGTTTTGTGCTTCAAAGACGTGCGCGCAAGCGGTTCACGTCCAGGTTACCTGACCCACGTCCCTGATCATTAACATAACTGTGTGAGTGTCTCTTACACGGAGTTCCTTGATGGACCTCCAGCTCCGGGCACTGGTGGCCAGGCTAAATCGGATTCAAGAAAAAGGACATGCTGCATACTCGTAATTGGACTTCAAGCTTGGCTCTACTCCATAAGCTGCTACACAAACCGTGCTCCGATAATACATAGCCCTCTCTGATTTTCTATCAGAATAGGGAATGCAGCTCAGCTGGTGATCAAGGATGTGAACTCGGCAGCTACTTGAGCTTCGGACAAACGGAGACACTTAACCTTACAAAAAGCTGAGTAGGTAAAAGTATTTGAGTTGCCACGTGGGGAGCACAACAATGCTCAGACAGTCTTTTTTGCTGGCGCCAGTCTGCCAAAGAGGATTTGTCAGCACTGCCTAGGCCCAGAGCAGTTCTGCTTAAGAGTTAGGCTGAGTGCTGGTAATTAAACTTTGCAAAATGTGCTGAGTCTGCATTCAGCTTGCAAAATGCCCTCTCCATTCAGCTTACCTACTTTGTTTGTGTAGCCAGTGCACATCACTCGTACCCAGCAGCAGCCTGGACCAAGTCGAGTTGGCAATACCTAGGTATATTAAGGAGTCGATTGAGTCTGTAGATGGTCTGTAGCTACTAGCGACGCAAATCTCGACTTGAAACATCCATGTCAAAGTACGGTCAGGCTGCCGCGGGACACCACTTCCCGCGCGCGTTGATTTTCACTCTATTGATTCAACCATCCGATGCTTTGACACCTCTTCATCGGACGGCCCACACAAAACTGACCGCGCAGCCGCGCCAACGGTAGCCTGAATTTGTGGCACAACAAAGCATACCTACACATACAAACGCTCACCTCCCAAGCAGGCCAACAGGGAGGTGAATATTGGAACGCGGCAGCTTTGATTTCGCTCTTGATCTTGGTTGAGTGTGTTCAATCATCTGTAGCGGGCAGGGAATTAGCAGGCTGCTCTGCGGTGCGAGAATGCACTCCTGTGATCTACCTCGCTAGCATCCAAAGCCATTATTCAGTCTGGTAATACACCTGCTGATCACTCTGGCACACAATGTTGTAATCACAAGTAGTTCTGATTGAGCCACCAGAATCCTTGCAGCAGCATTGCAGACCCTGACATCAGGGCATCATTGCAGATTCGATCATCTTTCATGCAGAGAATCAAGAGCCCCGTGAAAGCAAGAAAGTCTCTCAGCGTGAGGCGCAGAGGCAATCAAGAGCCTCAGCATTGCGTCTGAATGGCAGTTATGCGAAGGTAATCCTACTTGAGGGTTTCCGGACTGAGGATTCGGGGCCTGTTTAGAAAGGCGCGTGGGCGGGATCCTGTGTCGGACCAGTCGCTATGGAGGACTTGTACAAAGACTTGCTGCGCTTTGGGTGCCTCAAGGTAAGCAATACTGACGGCACAGGATGGTTTCTCTTTGTCTCATGCAAAGAGCCACAATAGTGCACCAGTTTTGAGGGTTGGAATCAATCAAAGCCCCCAGGATGTGTGAGACTCTCGGGAGGTGAGTGGATGACAAAAGGGAATTCCAGGCTGTAGACCGTGAAGAAGAGGCCTGGCCTCTTCTCAAGGGGTTTAGATCAAGAAAGACTCATGTCTACAGAGAGCACCGGTAAAATGAAGCCAAGGCACTTGAGAAGAGAAGGACCACATAGCAAGGGGACTGCTTTTGCCTCATGTTAGTACACATGAACGCAGTGTTTGAACATAAGCGATTTGGTGCGGTTCAAGGCGCATAGAAGACAGCAGAAGCTTGAGGCATAAGTAATATCCTGGTGGCTAAGCAAGAAATCGGCCATGCAATGCCAGCAATTGAAATACGAGCAGCTTTGGAGGGACAATCTAAACGTTTTTGCATACTACGATTGCAGCCAGAAGGAACAGGGGTGGGACTTCTTGCCGAGATGTTTCAATTGACAAAGTTTGAAACCGAGACTGCTCAATCGACTGGAACTTTGTTCCCACGTTTCTTCCTTGTGAATAGTCCCGGAGACGCACAGAAAAAGGACCTAAATTGTTGCAGCAAGTTTAAAAGGATAAAGAGTGGACCAGAATCATCCTGGGCCTGTTGCGGATCTCTAGCATACCTCTCCAGAATCTTGCAAGTAGCATTATAGCTTACATCAGGCACTGTGTGGTTTCCAGGGCTTTAAGCACTTCTCTGTCTACCTGCGCGGTAGAGAGGAGCTGCTGATCACGGTCAGAACGCCCCCAAATGCGGACTGCGAGCCCGTAGCGCACTGTGAAAACGCCGTGGTGTCGCCCAGGTGAGTCATCCTAGCCACAAGTTTCCGAAGGGCATAAGCCGTGGCATATGAGCAATTGCAAAGCAAGATTCTGTGGTGGATGCTTGTCATACACTCGGGCTTGACATCATGAATCATAGGAAAGTCATTGTCTCTCTATTCTGCGGCAATCAAGGTAGGCGATCGCGGAGCGTTGCGTCCAGCTTTGGGAGAGCTACGCCAAAGTTTGAGACCTACACGGGGGACTGTATGGTTGCACAGAACGAAGGAAAACAGTCGCAACGACTCAGATACTGATAGGTGCAACCCTTGAGCTGCCTCGACCAACGTGAAACGAGTCGGAACGCTGCTTTCAAAGCTTGAGCTCGACCTGAAGATTTGTGAGTCCTAACAATCAACACAGCAACGAGGGGAGTTTTCTGGAGAGGTCTCTTGAAATCATACTCCACACCCTGTATTTAAGATCTTGCCAGAGAGAGACCACCTGCGAGACCCCGAGAACCTTTGAACAATACGAATTCTTTTTTGGATGCAGCAAGCGGTTGCAACGGGTCAGCAGCCTACGAACGGGGAAGTCGTTCCCGCCCGCGAGCCCCGCAATTGCAGAAGCTGTCAAACCGGTAAGCATCAGAGCACGCGCGAAGCTTTGGTGAAGCTAAGTTTTAGAAGGAGATTTTGAGCGGGCATGCATGTAAGTACTCCCGTCGGAGTCAGACTTTCAATTTCTAATGGCGCTTCTGAGGTGTGACGTCAGCAAAAGCACAGCGGTCTTTGAGGAGGAAGTGGGGCGGCAGTTTCTACAGAGTGACGTCAGCACTTCTTTGGAGAGCAGCTTAGGCAAGTCTCGCAGCACGTGACGAGCTTGCCTCGAGTTCCGTGTTTTTGCCAAATGATCGTTCAAGGAAAAGCTCCACGCACTTCCATCAGTTGACTTCCGCAAGGAGACTCTATCAGAAGCTCGCTTCATTCGCGCCAGAGAGCTTTTCAAAGCGGACATCCCGTGCTAAAACCGTCTCGATTGCATTGTGATTCTAATAGCAATACCGATGTTGCAGGTAGCACCGGAGGAGACCGTGTTTCTTGTGGGGGCGTATGCTCGGTATAACTGGCCGTACGTTTGGGTGAGTGCCATGTCTCTTTGATGCCCCGGCCCTACGCGCCTGCTTTGAGTACGTGCGACAGGTCGTCTATGATCAGAACGAGAACTTATCTTTGAAAAGCATCTGTTACGAACTCATTCGTCAACAGAATGAGAACATTCTCTAGAAAGCATCTGTTCTGAAATCTGTTCTGAAATTCTGAAGTTCACCACGTTGATAAGTAGTGGGCGCACAGCCTTGTGCCTCCGTGATCTGATTGTGAAGTCCCTTCAAAGCCTGAGACCGACGGCCAACGTTCCGCTGCAGCTCCGGTCGCAGAACCCCCGGATAGCGGACGCCACGCTGGACATGAACCTGCTTGACATTCTGTAACAATGAAATTCGCTGAAGCTCTGGAACGTCGAACTTCAGAAAGCCCCAAGAATCTGAAACGTCAGTTCCCTGAAACGTCGAAACCCGCTCCGTTGCAGCTCCGGTCGCAGAACCCGCGGATAGCGGACGCCACGCTGGACATGGACTTGCCGCTGGACCTGCAGTCGACGCGGGAATGGGAGTCCCGCCGCCTGCGCGTCTGGGACATCGTCGAGGAGTTGGTGCTCATGAACATCGGACATGACCAGAGCAACCCCTTCGAGGTGAGGCCTGTTCACACCTGATTCTGGATGTTGAAATCTGAAGGGAAGAGATATATATGTATTGGCGGACCTTGGAAAGCGCAAAGTCATCAAAGGACTGGTAAGCATGGACAAAGGACACGGATAGACCCACCCTTTGTAGGCGAACTCGTGTGGAGTTCAAGAATTTGCGGTAGAGCCCTGAGACGGTCCCAACAGTCGCCGCTCACAAGATTCGGACTCGACGAGATCAACTCCTTTCTCGGGCCGCACCCCTAGCTCTTGCATTCGAAGTGCTTCAAGTCCGAGGAGACCGGTTCAGAGCCTAATATTTCGACAACCTTCGGAACCCTTGTAATCCGTGTGGTTAAGACATTGGGACTCATTGACGTCCAGAAAGAAGCCTCCAGACCTGCTTGTCTAAGGCTAGCCATTTCTTTTCCGCAGGTGGACCACGAAGCTCTCGCGAAAATGAACCGGTTGCAGCGGTCGCTCTTGTCCGCCGCGCTCGCGTACTTCCTCCGGGAGCTGTTGCTAGACGGGGCCGCCTACTCGCAAGCCGGTGAGGAACCGAGCGCGTAACGCTCTAGCTTGCTTCTCAGCAGATCGTTACGACCGATATGAGCTGAAAAAAGAGATCGTCGCCTCGTGTAAGACGTCGAGCAACTGTGAACGTGCGTCAGAAGGAACCGGCGCGGACTGCTTCAAACCCAAAAATCAACACAACAGATCTAGAATACTCAGTGGTAATCTGTTCCCGAGGAAGGAAGTAACGCCGTCGTCTAGGTTGATCTTCTTAACTTATCAGCCCCTCTACCTGGCTTCTCGTCAAATTTAACTTATCACCCCCTCTACTTGGCTTCTCGTCAAACAGAGCTCAAAGACATATCGGCTCTGTCTTTAATTGATTCGTTCTTTCGACCGTGGTCCAAACGTGCTTCCAAAAGCTTTCCGAAGTCAATGTAAGAAACCGCAATTTCTCCTTGGCTTGCAGTGCGACGAGACTTGCAGCTCTTGCTCGAGAGCCACTTCAACGACATGGCGAAAGTCTTTCCTGGGTTCGGGGCAACGGATTCGAAGCCCATCGCCGCCCACTAGCGTCGCCTGTACTCCAAATCACTGATCAGTAGGAGACAGATGTTTAGGAACAATGCGCGCGCAGAGTAGGAGCTGGCTTGACACATTGTCATACACGGGACTAGGACTAGATCGAGAAGCGCAGAGGTGGATAGGAACTAGATCGACTCGAGTTCCTGCTTCGGAAGCGAGATACAAACGTCTGCGCCGAAAGCTCGACGCAGGCACGTGACGTCCGAAAGGCCAGCAGGCCCTCCAGGAATGACGATACGCTGACGAAGACTTGGAATAGATAAGCACGGCGGCACAGATTCGTAAGGAATCTCATATGGTGGACTCACCGGCCTGACGATCATGTAATAAACAGGGGCCCGATTGATCATGGGTTGCTCAACAGCTCTTTTGGTCATCTTTCATTGTGTCATTCTTTGGATCAACGCGGTGGTTACTCCTACATGCTTTGATTATACGTAAGCGTTAGCATAGATGAAGTGGAGAACCAGTTGTAACTGTTAGTGTAGACGAAGTGAAAATTTACGGTAAGGACCTGGTCGAAGGGCTGCTCAGTGCTTTGCGGACTGTTTGTCAAAAGTACCATGCTATGCGACGTGTGGAGGCTGCTTCAAGCACGTCACACCTGCTTTGATTGGCCCGTGATGCAGCCCTTTCTTCCGATACATAGGGCGTGCCGCCCCCAAGTTGGAATCGATTTGGAGGCAAATCGAAGCATGGGAGTGCAAAGTCTCGTAGAAACCGAGAACCAGGTCCTTTAGTACACATGCCACGGCTTCGAATCACAAAGAATTGTTCCCTTTCAGCACAAGTCCCTGCACCAACCATCGGCCACTGCAGAGGCTCAGGCAAATGAGCTTTGTCCATCATCGCGTCTTATCGGAGCAAGATGCTCCAGTTCCTCTGGCGGCGCCTCCATTTCAGGCTCCAAAAGCCATCCGCGGCCTGCAGTGCTGCGTGTGTTGAAACGTACACACGACTTCTGTGTCGAAGGAACGTACTATTGTCGAAAATTATTCAATTCACAATCAAGGGCAGCCCAAAGGCAGCCCAAGAACAAGCTTCGGATAGCTGAGTCCGAGCCTTCAAGGATGATTCGACGTCATTTCGGCGCACTGTCGAGATCAAAACAGATTGACTGTAGGAGGACTGCTGAGTGTAGCCTCTGTGAATGATCGATTGGAAGCTCATAAATAATTGGCGCGGCCCACATGGGCGTACGGTCGCGCGGCGGGGGCCCGCGCGTGCGCGGCCCCGCGCGGCCGCAGCGACGCCGACCGTGGTCCAATGACCGTCGAGTCCGGTGTATAATCGACGGTCGGCCGGGACGGTCGGGAGTCTTCAATGATGTTTGCAATCATCACGGATCTTGATCTGGATTCTGGGCCGTACAAACGGAACTCGTGGCGGCTTGCCGCTTGCTGCGGGGTTCCAGCTTCTATCACATACGCAATGCACTATAAAAAGTGAACCCGGTTTGTCGGCTTAAAAGGAAAGGCTTCGACTCGAGAATTCAGGCCTTGGGTACTTGTCAAGACGGCGGTTGGCCAGAAGCTAGCGGGAAGTACCCCGTGAGGGAATGCCCACTCCTCTGGAGCTCCGCGCTCTTTGAGCAGCTTCCATTTGGCAGCATTCCCTGCTTTTCTAGCTACGGGGAACATTCCCTATATCACACCGGGAAATTGGAATGCTCTCTTTCTGACACCAACTTGTGCCTAAGGCTAAACGAGCTAGAGCTCTTTGCCAGGATTCAATCGCTTAGGCGGTTTGCTTCAGACCATGATTCAAGCCTGACGCATCTTCGGGACGCTGCCATCATGGGACCTCGAATGTACTCACGCAGCATTTCTTCTGAGGAAGGTGGAGAAACTGCTTGTGCAAGGTCAAATTCTCTCTGCCTGGTTTCTCAGTAGCTCGCATGAACAGCTTGCAATCCTCAAGATGATAAGAGCAAGTGATGCGGACACGGTTGAGCAACCTTCTTGCATTTGAGCTAGACGGCATTGGCAACGGCGCTCTTGCCTTCGATCAGGTGGTGGAAGCCCTACCTTGCTAGAGCTGCCCCCTGGACCAAACACGTCTCCAGCGACATCTACTTTGTCATGGTTCTGGGGAGGCGTATCCTGGGCCAAAAGGAACTTCTGCCTGGATAAGCAATGCACTGACTTGAGCTGTAAAGCATCCTTCCAGGACAAGCAGCATCTGCTCTAAGACGAGTCAGTGAAGGTGACTGATTAGAGAGGGCCATTTCGCACACACGTTGGAGATAGGGGTGAAAGACTTGGTTGCTGCTTCAGTTTCAAGGACCTGAATGTCACTTATAAATGCCAACCTACTTACCTTTCTGATGTGCTGAGAAATTCATCAGGTGAGAAGACCAATCTCATGTAAGGCCTGTATCCAAATAATGTGCTTTCTCTCTCTCCAATAAATATACCAAGGTCATCTCAAGGTCATGTCAAGCTCGTGTTGTCCCCTTCAACATCTCACCTCCGACCCCGTCGGTCTTCCAATTGGCTATTGCACATGGTGTTGATCCTCAATTCTTGTTGAAGATAGATTGAGATTGTATCTGCATTCCTGAAATTGTAACTTCTCCCGTTATAGCATGGACCTTCAAAAAATTCTGACATACTTGAAAACTCGAAGAGTGGCCGTCAGGATGACCTTCGAAGTTGGATATAACAGGATAGTTGCAGCACTCCAAGAAGTCTTAGTGACACCTCTATGCATAAACACTTGCCGCGCTTCAGTACTTGGTGTAAGCTTAGCGCCTTGAGAAGATGGTGAGCTCCATCCTCTCCATTGCAGGACCTGACAAACACTTCCATGTGCTGCTGGCAGGCACACTCCGCAGACCAATGAAAGAGCTCAGTCAGATGAACCAGCTGTAGAAGGGGCACTGGTGGTCCCAAAGGGCAGACTAAGATGTGCAAAGCCTTGTGTAGATAAAAGCACAATCAAATAGGATGGATGTTGAGGAGCTGAAAGCGAGAGTGTCCAGAGATCTCCAGACTCTGGCTGAGTTGACAGGGGCCAAGGCACATGTCTGGATGCTTGTGGACGAGGAAGGGGGAACGAATGGCGCATGCTCGCCCTCGCTCAAGGACTTCCATTGGACGTTGAAGGAAGTCGTGAAGGCAGCAGCAGGAGTGTGAGTATGACGGCAATCTGCATACACATTTTGAGCATCTTTAGAAAGAGAGCCCCACCCGGTCTGAGCTTTTGTTAAGTTGAAAAAGCTTGTAAAGATTCACAAGCACTCTGAGATGCTTGCCAGCTGATCTTACACTGAAGTTGGTGATTGTGGATTGACAATGGTCTTGCCATGGTTCATGGGATTGCGCAGGAATTGAACTTGTCGTTTAAGGCTGCAGCTTCAATTGACATGATCTGCACTCACATCAGCCGTGTACATTAACAGCTTAACCACTGTCCTTGTCTAGCACTTGATGGTCTTCTCCTGCTCAGGGCTGCAACTCCGACTCAGAAGCTCTTTTGAAAGCTCTGCACATTATGACTACATTGAGGTGCAACAAAAGATTGTTGATGTCCAAGTCATCTCTTTTTGAAGAGTGGGGCCTATTCAGCGTCTGCAGCATTCTGCTGTATGGAATAAAAAATGTGCTTCTTACCGTCCCTGTGCAGGTGCTTCGAAGTGGTCAACGACTCACCTGGAGGCCTCCGGAAAGCAGAGTGTCTCAAGGACCTGGTAAACACCAAGCATGTTGAGCTGCATCCGATTGTAGCGGCTCTTATCAAGGGGCTGAACGATATCAACGATCACAACTTCCCCAGGACAAAGGCCAAAGACGACCCCAGCACAGTGAGCAGCTCCTCTTCGTGTCCTCTAATGGGACGAGCAATCTCGCAGCCAGAATGCCTGTACTTCATACTTGAGAAATTTTTCCAGAGTGTCAAGTTATTGCTTTGAAGTCGGGGTCGAAGTCCATTCCGAAAGAGTATGCCCGAAGGTTCCGGCGCTCTTTGAGTGACTAGCTTCACGCCGGTGATGCCTCTAATTCTGGTTGCCGTTTTGCTAGAGCAAGCGTGGTCACTTGCAATGACGAAACAGTAGCGTGGAGCTTCTGGTTACGGGGGACTCTTGTTTCCGTCTGTACTCAAAACCCTTTAAGATCTGTAAAGGCTCCCCAGACCTCTAAATGATCTCAGGTGCTACTCCTCGTTTCCAGTCTCTTTCTGAACCTTGAGGTGCCAATCTGTTAGGCGATGGTTACTTGTTCATCTGCTTCTTCAGATGAAGCACTATGCAAAACAGCTTGCAGATGATGCTTCTTGCAAATATCGATTTCTGTCACCAGCTTGCCCCTTTCCTGGGGTCCTGTAGGGAAGGCTTTCACCTACCTAGCATTGGCACCTGAACATTCCTGCAGAATAGTGGCAAAGAGCACTCGGCGTCAGCCTGTAGAGTCTGGATAGGTTTCCGCCTCAAAAGCAGGTAAGCACAGGCCGGCGTGAAACACTTGCTTTCGACCTGACTGACTCAGCCTGCTAATCATTTGACGGGTGTTTCCGCAGGCGCACCGCAGAAGCTCAAGATGGCCGAAATTACGTCGCAGCCGTCCGATCTTCACATAACAATCCCAGTCTGCAATCTCTAGCCTCAAGGGGTTCAACAGCGTGAGGACAGGGTACCGGATTGGGTTTGGAGGTCAACTTTGCAGAACCGCTTGGGAACAACAAATCTGAAGCCTCCATTTTTTGACGTCTCAAGAAATAGACGAGTGTCCTCTTTCCCAGCCACTTTGATCGTCTGCGGTCCGCCTCTCCCGCAGGTGCCGCCCTGGTTCCCCCGCTTCCCCAACTTCGCCAAGGTGTACGCCGAGCGCGTCCAAAACATGCGGCTGGAGGAGCTGTTCCCCGTCATGGACGCCATCTTCGACCACGTCCGGACGTGGGACCTTGCGGACGTTCGCAAGCTCCGCGCCATGCTTCTCGAGAAGAGCTACCGCCCTCTGGGGGACAGCGTCGGAAACTGGGCCGGCCTCAAGTGCTACTTCGACGCGTTGGAGGCGGAGGCTGCGCAGCGGGGGGGCGGGAACAGGGGTACAGATGGGGGGGGGGGACCGGGCTCAGGCGCTGCCGCCGAGCTGGATGCCCTGCGCGGAAACGATGACCTCAAAGCGGAGCAAGGCAGCGGAGACAGGGTTGAGTTGCTCGCGGCGGCTAGTAAGAAGGCACGCAAGAAGCGTGCACGGAAGGAGCCCCCCATGGGACTGTTACTTCTCCCTACCGACGTAGGGCGCAGTGGGCAGAGAGAGACCTGGACACTCCCCCAAGCGAGCGGAGAGCCCCCGGCGCAGGGCTCGGGCTTGACTGAGACAGTCAGCGCGGGCAAGAAGTCCCCCGGAACGGAAGTCAGCTCACGCGAATATGACGAACCGGTAGTCGGCGGTCCCGGGGGGCACGCGACGGGGCCTTTCGGCCCCCCGGGAGCAGAAAAAGCGTCCTATTTGGATGCGCCCAGGGGCCAAATGGTTCCCATGGATGTGGAGGGGGGTAACGGAAGGCAGGGTCCTTCTGAGGCGCAGCTACAAGCGGAAGATGACGATCCGGGGTTGGACAGCCTTTCTGTCCTGCCTATTTGGGACCAGGGGCAACTGCCTACGCTAGACGAAATCCTCAATTCGTTGGATGGCGTTTGCGAAGTCCAGTTTGGGGATCCGGTCCGGGGGGAGGAGCGCCAGCTTTTGCAAGAGAGAGAGTTCAGGTGGCTGGTGCCGCAACTGTTGGCGTCCGGAGCATTGGACTTTGCCACCTATGTCGATGAGCAGACCCTTCCCGCACACGGAAACTTTCATCCGCAACGCGACGAGGGCAACGAGCTCCTAAATGCCGCGGCGGCATTTATGCCGCCGCCCGCGGAGCAATCGGAATTTCATCCCATTTCCCTCGAGCAGAGATTGGCGATCCTGGTCCGGGCCAGGGAAGCCGGTCCGGTTCCGCCCGGGAGCAGGGGTTCCGCCCCGGATTCCGCGGCACCTGGCCCCGAGGCGACAACGCCGTCCCCGACTCTCGAGCGAAGCAACGCCCGAAACGCGCGGCACGGGCTAGCAGCTCCCGTCGAACTCCGCAGTCGGCAGCCCGGCCGCCGAGCAGCGCCGAGCTTCTCCCCAGCCATGTCCCTGGTTGAGCGGGGGCCGCATTCGGAAACGACCCCCCCGAAACGGGGAATCCTGGTCCCGGCAGGCTTCCGAAACCCCAGGCTCTTGTTGCGGGGGGTGGAGCTCCTCTCTCTGAAACGGGGCCCGCTGTCGGGCCCCGACAAAGTGGGGGCGCATTCCTCCGCCAAGCCGAACCGCGCGCAGACCGCGCCTCCAGAGCTCCTGCAGCCGCAACAATTGGAAGACAACTCCCCTCGCGCCGGTCCGCACCGCCGGAGGGCTTCTACGGGAATGGGAAGGATTCCGTCGCCCACCGCGGGAGAGCAGGAGCAAAGCGCGCCGCTCTCGTTGCCCCCAAGTTCCATTTCCGGGGCCCTGTTGGACCGCGACGAGCGGAAGAGGGTCGGAGCGGAGTTGCCAGTCGAGACGGCCCGGGCGCAGTCCCTGCACGATCGGCCCCATCTCAGCTGTCCGTCATTCTGGACCGAGTCGACTGAGACGGGGACGAATACTCTTCCGGGGTCAAGAAACACCGGTGGGGAGGAAAGAAGCGAACCGTTCCCCATCTCCCGAAGTCCCGGCCCGTCTCCGCAAGTCAAGGCGGAACCCTCCGTGGGTGGCGCGGAAGCGGAAACGGAGGCCCGCGGAACCTTCCCGGCTGAACGGCAGGAGCAAGCACTCCGCCCGGAGAGTGTACTTGCGCCCAGAGGCGTAACTGCGGGCGATGTGAATAGGGCCGCGCAGGCGTCGCGGCCAAGCCGTCCGTCGCTTGGCCCCTCCCCGAGGAATCCTGTTCACACCCTGTCGACCGCAGGGCCGCAGCAGGGTGTGAAGGCCGGCGTTCGGACGGCGCTGCCAGGATCGGACGGTACCTTAATGTCCGATTCGGCGGTCCCTGTCATCAGGTATGTTCTGCTGGTGAGAAGAGCAGGCGGAACAGCGGAAATGGTCGCGGCTGACCCTTCGGACGTTGCGGACGCTGCATCGGACCCTGTGGCGAACGGTGCGGACGGGAGCTCGGACGGTGCGGCCGCGGAGTCGGACGGTTCGGACGGCATTTTGAACTTTACGGACGCTGACTCGGACAGTACGGAGGGCAGCTCCGAGTCTGACGGAACGGACGGCAGCTCCGACGGAACGGACGAGAAGAGCGTGGACGGTGAGAGGAGTCTTGGGGACGCTTCAGACAGCGGTGAGGGTGCTGAGGTCACGAGAGAATTCGACTATGCGGACGGAGAAGCTTCTGAGGACGCCATTGAGGTTTCGGACGCTGCGGACAATCCGGCCGCGCCGTACGGGGCGACTGGCAAACGGGAGGCTCATGCAAAGAAACCAAACGGAGCAATGGCAACAGCAGAATCAGGCAAGCTGCCTGCTTAATTCTGCTTTATCGGAGTTGCTCCACCAAGGACCCTCGATTGCGGGAGTTCAGAGCATTTTGATTTGAGCTTACCCTTCCGCTGAGTGCTTTCAGGTTCTCAGGGAATCTGTTGAGACTCTTCTGCTGTAGGTCAGCCGTTGTAACGGAAAGGATTCGCATTGCGGTGGTTGGAACGCCTTCCTTTTGCGGCTCCTAAAAACCTCTCGTTAACGTGTACGGTCTTGCCAAAGGTGTCAGTCGGACACTTCATTGAAGGCCTTTCCTCTCTTAGTACAAATGCTATGTTTCTCCGCACGCTCATTTGGAAGCCCTCAAGTTCTCTCTATCAATTCATCGACACCGCTGTACCCACACGCTTGCCGTGCTGCGTTTTTTCGCGCGCTTTTTAATCTCGTCTCTGCTGTTGTCGGGTATCTCGTTTGGCTCAAAGGTCAGTGATGCCTGTCGGAAGGATTGCGACGAAATAGTCTTTGGCAAACACGGCACAAGCTTGGAGATTCTGCGAACAAGCCAGAGCCGATCTCGGAGCAACCCAGAACCTGAGTGGACTCTACTTTTCATTTCCCTATTTTCCTATCGCCAACCTCTGAGCAACCCAGAACCTAAATCGATTCCCGTTCCCACGTTTCCACCGTCAGCCACTTCTTGGCGCGGTTCGTACGCTGCGAACCGCCGGGGGTACTCAGATGCTGCAATAAAGACGCACGGGGTAGGGGACGCAACCGGTCGCAACAGGCCGCGGGTGAAAAAGGCGGGGCCCCGGGTAATCGGCTTTGTGCCAGGTAAACAGCTGTCGGTTCGACTTCTCTCTGCGACAAAACCAGAAGGGGCGCAGTCGAAAGGCCCTAGTGACTGCGCCGAGTATCTAAGATTGTTGACTTCGACTGGGATTCCGGCCCGCACCAAAAGCTGGTCGAGGTTGCAGATGAGGGTTGAGTGTGTGAGGTCGAGTTGCTTACACCGCCTACTTTTCAAGCTCTACTGTTCAAACAAGAGCACGTAAGGCTCGAGTACTTACAAACAGGAATCTCATAGGAGAAATAGTGGTATGGTGTCAACAACACAACGCCTGTTTGGCACGTTCTGAGCAGGAATGGCATCCACGATAGTAAATTGCAGCCTATATTGACGTCGCTGGCTGAGCTCGAAATCACAAACACCAAGCAGATTTGTCCAGAACTCGTGTACGTTTGACATCCGAAGTCTCTATTGGTTACTCCCGAGCAAGCGATGAAACTGCCGAGATTTTCGTAATTGTGCAACATTGCAATCTTGTTTTTAAAACGAAAGTCACTTTTTTGTTTTCTGTCATACTTTTGGGTTCGTTTTTCGTCGAGCTCTTCCCGTGCAAAAGGGTATTTTATGAACCGTGCTGTAGGAACGACACACGAGAAGCTATCATCTCAAGCGATTTGCCTGAATGAAGAGGTTGACCCAAATAAATGAACATAAAGCTTTCAATTCGTCAAAGATGTTGCCCGTTTGAAATAAGCCAGCATTGGATTTCAAAAGCAGGGCCCGGTCCAAGGGCACAGGAACAAAGAACACCCTTCCTTATCTGTGCAGCAATCTGAACCCATTTCTCCCGATCGCAGGATCTCCGGAAGCAGCGCCGACGGACGTTCCGCCCGGCGGAACGCTGGAGACCAGAATCGTAGAGAAAGAGCGGCGCGCGGCACAGCTGGAAGCGGTCGTTGCTGGCTTGGAGGAAAGGATGGCCGGTCTCTTGGCGAGTGCGCGCGCGCTGTCGCGGATGATTGGTCCGGCGGAATCGGACGGCGGGGAGAGTCCGTCAAGCGTCCTCCGGGGGCATCCGACGGCCCAGAGCTCGACCGCGGCCGCGCTGCGCTCGAAGGTCGAGAAACAGATGACGTCGGACATTACATAGACATCTGAGATTGAAAAGGCGGTGGCCGCGCAGTGGTGGGCGTTGTCCGATGGTTGAATTTCTGATAGCATTTTTATGATTTTATTTGTGTGATCATACCAAAGACGAGGCGTTCGGTGGATAAAGAAAGCTTGGGCTGACCCAAAGACTCTGGCGCTGCCGACTGCCTGCGAAGTCTGGCGGGCCGAAATGATGTCATTTAGCGCTCTCGAGGTCTGGTAAGTAGGCTAAATGAGCCCGGGACGTTTAGATTGCGTATAACATAGCAGGTTAATGCAAAGGTGGCGTGACGTGTCTGTATTATGGATGTACTGTGTGACTCAGATCGATGTTGTAAAAGTCTGATTGGTAAGCTTCGATCCGGAACGGCGAAAGTAGAATAATCGTAGCATGTTATTAGTCAAGAGGAAGTGCCAAAGCAGATTTGAGAGAAATGCACTTCAGAAATGGGTGTGTCTAGGCAAGTTGGCCATAGGGTCTTTGTGCTGATACGTGTTTCTGGACGACTCAGCGACAGCTAGCAAACTAGTAAAAACCAAACAGTATCAGGAATTCAAAGATAAGCTTTAAGCTCGAACCAAGTAGCGAAAGTGGGTCACGTACACATCTGATAGATTAGTCGAGTTGGATCCAAACGACATTCAGTTAAGCTGACAAAGCCGATATGGCTGGTTACCGTGCTGGCATAGCCCGATCGGATACTGTAAAAGGGATCGATTAAACGGCCCTGAGGCGCGGATGCTGGCATGACTGCCACCGACGTCAGACGTTTAACAATTGCATGATCAGGGCTTCGACAACGGACCGCAAGATTGCATGTCCTGCCCAGACGGTACTTCATCTATGATCCATATGATCACGAAATGCATGAGTAAGCTCATGCTGGTACGTGCGCGGTTGAACTGGCAACATGCATGCCTCTCTACACCAAGTTCTTACGCTCAGTACAGTTTCTGCTTCAGGTCTATGTACGTTTGCCGGTCAAAACTTGAAAAGAGTAAAATTTTCATGCAGCAAGGCTTTGACTTATATAGCCTCACCCGCCAAATTCACTTTGAACGAGTGCAGGTGCATTGCCGCGCTGATTGAACTACCAACTGGCGGCCTGTGCAATGCTCACGTGGGGCCCCGTTCAAACCCGTTTGTCTATGCTCACGTACGGCTCTGTTTAGCTATGCATCACCACCTGGAACCCGTTGCAGAGCGCTGCTTAGACTTCTCCTCTTGATCAATATTTGAGATGCAGTGCCTAAAGACCAAGCTACCGCGATGCCTGCAACTTAAGGGCTGGCGAGCCGTCTTTTCCAAACTTGTGGTAATCAATACATGCTCAAGTATAGAAAAGCTCCACTGTAGTCCGGCGACCCCTCCTGATCACCTTGCACGCGTTCCCTCCATCACACCTGTCAGCAAGGTTGCAAGTGCGTTTGGTTCGACACCGTCACCAGTCAACAACCTCTCGGGCAAAGAAACGGCTTACGTAGAACCCTGCGAAAATGGGGGCCGTGCTTTGAGAAAGTGACGAATTTGGGAACCTTTCGACAAGAGAAATCTCAAGTGTGTGAATCTATCTGTGAGCCTAGATGCTCCGCCAAACCGTTGAGTACATCCACGACAGTCGACGATCACAGGAAGGACAAGCAACCCACAAGCAATTCAAAAGGCGTCCTGTTGGTCGAAGACTCGACCGCTGTCACAGATTTCACAGAAAATAAGAACCGACCCTAATCTCGTAGCAGATACGTGCCCGGTTTGGCAAGGTACCAGTGGAACTTCCCACGAATCTCGTTGAAAGCAGCAGCGCACTTCGACAGAAAAACAGCTTTTGGATCGGGCCGAACTCACAAACCAGTGCACTTCCAATAGAGTTTCGGCTACAACTCTTTGTTCCACTCCGTTCTTAGAAATTAGGAAAGTAAGCCCGAACTCGCTCGTTATGAAGCTAGCATCTCCGTTTGTTCCAGAATCATTCTCAACAGAGATATGATGATCTACACACCTTCGCATCTTCTACCCAATTCCAAACCTTGCTCGTCTGGCCTGGTTTCAGATAATCAACACTGCAAGCTGTCGAACACCAGTCCATCCTAACCGCGCTGCGTCTCTCTGATCGATTTGAATCACCCCCCGCAAATCAATTGATCCAAACCAGACGAACCGTCGGCGCATGGCTCGTGCAAAACGTTTGGCCTCCAACAACGAACCGCAGAGGGCGTCTCAGAGATCCACCCCAGCGCTGTCTTGAAACCCCGTAACCTTCAAAGTCTCCGCCTCTTATCTTCTTCTTTGAAGACCGACCTCGGTCGCCCCAATTCTTCACTAGACACCAACCCGCTGTTCACGAGTAAGTGTACACTGCAGAGAATTGGTGGACTAATAATCGAGACCCCAGATCATGAAACGTCAACGTCAGAACTGAGCTGAAATCCTAGTAAACCCAAAAACTTCAGAAACAAAGGTCCTCAAAATCAAAGTAAAATCTGGGCTATGTGCAAAAACTTACCTTGCCCCGAGCATCCTTCTTCGTATCTCCAATCTCAGGCCCGGTCTCCGGCTCCGTCCCTGATGCCGACCCGGTGCTTTTCACCGGGCGGTTGCCGATGATCCCCCCAGTGCGGACGGCCTTGTCGGGGGAAGGGGCGTACGGTCCCGGTGCTTCTCCCCCGGTCAATCTGGGGGGGAGAGTAAACGCGGCGACCAGGACCGCGATAGACCCCACGAAAACTGGCACAAGGGGCTGGCGCCTGGTCGCCTCCCAGAGGCTGCGTGCAGAATGCATGATGACGTCACTCGGCGTCGGGTGTGCAGCAGGAATCGGGAAACTAGCTTAGTTTCACAAAGGTTTGTTCAAGAAGTGGGTGAAGTTGGTGTCGCTTCCAACGTTTCACCAAACAGTCTTCCTTCGAGAGAGCCCCCTTTCGACCTTCCCCTTCTTCAGCTTTAAGAGCTAGCTCCTGAAACGGATTACGAAAGCAAGAGCGACGAGTGCAGAGAGCGAAGCACAGCCTGAGAGACAATCTGATAAAACGTCGTTACGCAGCTCTTTCTGGTGACAGACTAAGATCCCCGCAAAGCGGCAGCTCCCTCGTTGCTCGATGCACCGGCGCTAGCTAGGAACTGTTTCAGACTCGCCAATCCAGCTCGAAGTCGCTCATAGGAAACTAGCACCAGGAAGCCCTCTGACTGTGCATGCGCACGTATAAAACGGGGCGCTCCAGATTCTGTCAAGAGCTGGTCGACAACACCCTGCAGATGTCTGGCGTGCTTACACAGCTGGTTTCGCTGGGTATAGGTGAACTGTAACTTGGCGAGCGCCTGAGGCTGCAGAAGAAGCCACTGATCTTCTGTAGCAGTCCGTCATCGGCCGTCTGCATACGGTATCGCTCCCCGGGGCTTGATCGACGTCATGCGAGACCTCGGCGTACATCTCGTACTTGCATGCAGCATGCACGCGTGATCGACTGGGCGCAGCCAAAATATGCATGGCGAGCGGTGCTGATGACGTGGCACGCACTCGCGCCGGGGTCGCGGGCGGCCGGGATAGAGAAAGGCGCGGCCGCGCGGCGGCGCGGTTGAAGTGCTAGGTACGGTATGCGCCGCCCCTGGCAAGGGTCACGGACTCACTCTTATTTGCAAGTTCTGAAGCCAATGTTTCGACCAGGATATGGTGCAAGGCTATCTCCTGATGCGGCGGCTCAGGCTGTCAATCATTCGAACTGAGTAGGATGACAATGCATCGCGGAACGCAATCGATCGGGGTCGATCTGATATATGCACATAGCAGCAGTCACTTGGCATCTGTTTCTGGCACGGTGCAAGCAAGTCGCGGATGAATTAAAGTTGCGCTGTGGACGGTCATATTAGACTGGCGAGTCCATGCATTCCGATTCAAAGCATGCATGCATGCAATGGGTCAATTCTCAGCCGCGGCCAGTGCATCAATTCGACAACTTCGAGCCCGGCAGCCGCCATGGCCGCTGTATCACCTTGATTATTCAGGTTTGTGATGCCTTTGTCGGGAGCTGTTGGAAGCATTCCGGTTGGAAACCATTTCGTCGAGAGCTCGATCCAGATTGGCAAGTGTTGCACGTTTGTGATCGGACCCGCCATGGATGATCATCGTTTGTATCAACTCAGCGCGTGCTCATGAAACATGGGCCGGCCATTTAGACGTGTAAGTGCCTTCGAAACCAGAAGAATTTTGGACTGTGAAACGGGGCGGCTAGGCTTGCATCGGGTCCTCAATCAACACTGATTTAGGGGTTTGGTGACGCTGGCCGTGACATGGTAAATCAAGACAGAGTAACACGGACGGGGGTTTGAGTCGTGAAGACCAGGTTTATCTGACGGTGTGTGAAGGACATATTGCTGTAGGCGATGAGGTCTTTTATGCGTGATGCCTATGCTTGCTAGCGCTTTCAAAGTTTGACAAAAGTCGACGTTTCAAAAAGGTATAGATGACCTCTTAGTCCCGCACGTGATGCTGACCACATCACTCTCCATGGGACAGCGGTTCTCTGCAGTATACTGAATGCGTACGGACCCGCTCAGTACCGACCCGCCCACGTGCCTTCCTCCCTCTGCTCGTTCCACTTTTCGACCTGGTCAGAGAACACAATGCAGATGTTTCATTATTTGAATGTAAGCGCACACTTCAAAGTCCTTGAGAAGTCAAAAGTTGCAATTCAAAGCTTCTTCCAGATATTCTGCATAATTGAAGCCCAACTTTACTTGTTAAAGGCCCGACACCTCGGATTCTATAATGACCATTCTCTATTGAGCTCACACAGCCGCCAAATACCAGTCCATACTTTCCTGATCAGAAGTCCAACCTTGTGATCAGGCAGGTTGTCAGAACCGGGGCCAAAGTCATTCGAGTATGCCACAGACGTTCTATCGTTTGATCAGTGTCCTAGCAATAGGGTTTCAAAAAAGAAGAGAGGGAGCATCGGAAACGATCGTCGAAACACTCGGAACAGAAAGGGTCATGAGAAACGCGCGCATGTTGCTAGGGGAATCCCAGAAGGATTACGTGGCAGTAAGCTGAAAGGCTCACGCAAAAGTTTCCACACTCACAGTATGGATCGAACGGGAGTGGACGAGCGGAAGTAGACGAACTTACCCATTCTCCTGGGCACAGTGAGCGGTACCAGCGTTGGTACTGCTTGCACTCCGGGTCGTCCTCGCCCTTCTGGGCCGCACACCTGTCACCGCACATGCGCTCGTGAGTTTTTGTTTCAAAAAAACTTTGAACGAGCATTTCGCCTGCCTTCCACGGAAAGGTACTGACTCACGTGCGTTGCACTCGATTTTGAGATTGATAACGCGGATGTCAACCCCTCACAATATCGTAACCAATGACTTACGTCCGCTCACTTTCATGAAAGATTGAAATATGATGACCACAAACGACCATCGACTTTCGAAACTGAAGAACCCGTCGTGAAGGTTTGACACATTCTTCACCATTCGAAAGTCGCAAGAGTCGCATCAGAAGCTTGATTATGAAGGGTTTTTCAATCTCGGAACCGAAGAGACATTTGACCGTTCACTTACTTGTGGAACTCGTTATACCGGGTGTAGCAGTGCTTGGCCTGGACACAGAAAAATACACGTGTTTGAGAAACAATTGCGAAGGCTACGGGGGGGTCCGAGCCTGGAAGGTTTGAGGGTCTCAGCCGCATTGATAATGGACACCCGTGACTCTGCGTGCGCCACTGCTTTGCTGGCAGAGAATCCAATGCATGTGTTGGCCGGCGAAACCTGGCCCAGACTTTCTTGAAGCAATAGTTGAAAGCCTGTGCAAAACTCGAAGCGTGTGATCTCCGACAATACTGATAGCCTTGCCAGAGAGGCCGAAGAAGTGTGCCTTTCACCAGATTCTCCTCTGTTCTGCCACCAACAATACAATCTCTCTTCATGTCTTGTGTTCGGCAAATCGGCTTTCTAGGCTGGAAATGCGGCAAGTGCGGACGTGAAGAACTTTCACGATGAGGGCTGAAAAGTACGATGCGCACCTGATTGGTGGTTGGGAAGCGGTAGTCCATGGGAGCAGTCTTTATGTCCTCGATCTGCAGAAAGAACAATCGAAATTTGAACACGAGCAGAGGCGAGCCCTTGACATGATAAGGAGCAACTTTCGACGGGGCGAACATAATCAACGCTTGTACCGTCGGTCTTTTAAGTGCACCAGAAAGAGCAGCTGTCACTTCTGGACATTACCGATGTGATTGACTGAGAGCATCATGGTAATTGCGTAGCCTTCACACGCGTCTTCTTACATCGGTTCCTACAACAGTACCCTGCTTAGCCTTTTCAACAGCGTTTTCACGTTGGAGAAAGAGAAGAGACTGTTTTATTCACGAGCGACAGAAAGTAGACTAAGTCATCAAGACTTTTCAGCCCCTTTCAGATGTAGCGCAGATGGAGACCGATCGGAGTACTAAGCAGGTTTTGCGTCTAGCAAACGCACTTTTTAAGGGGTCGGTTGCAAAGACTACTGCTTCTCGAAACAAGCCGGGTCAAGAAGACAGCATCCCAAACCCCAGAGAGGCACAACGCCGCAAGTTAGGATTGATACAGAAGCCCGAGACTCACTGTAATCTTCTTCTCGGGCTCCTCCTCCTCCTCTGGCGCGTCATCTCCACCGTCCGCCTCTCCCGCCGCCTCATCTCCGCCGTCCGATCCTCCCTCTCCCTCCGACGCGCCCACAGCCTCCTTTGCTTCATCCGCCTTGTCCTCAACCGTCTCTTTCACATCTTCCGCCGTCTCCTTAACCGCTTCCTTCGCCCCTTCCGCCTTCTCCTTAACCCCATCCTTAACCTCCTCCGCCTTCTCCTTCCCCGCGCCGACCGCGCCCTTGACGCTCTCCTTGGCACTCTCCGCCGCCCCCGCGACGGTCACTGCCGCCGCATTCACCCAATCGCTCGCCGTCCGTCCACTCCCCATCACGGCTTCCTTACCACTGATCACCACTTCTTTGGCATCCTCAGTTCGGTCCACGATCCAATCCTGCGCCGCCTTGGCGCTCGTACGGGCAACCGCCTGCGAACCCTTTGCGCCCTCCCCAGGCTTGCCCGTCGCTTCCTGCACCGACTCCTTATGCTCCTGAGCTTTCGCCGACGCCTTGTCGGCCGTCTCCTTCACGCTCTCCTTTGTTTCCTGGGCCTTGCCAGAAACCTTGTCGGCCGTTTCCTTCGCTCCGGCCTTGACGCTCTCCTTCGCTTCCTGCGCTTTCCCAGAGACCTTGTCAGCCGTTTCCTTTGCGCCGGCCTTGACACTCTCCTTCGTCTCTTGCGCTTTCCCAGCCGCCTGCTTCGTGGTGTCCTTGACGCTTTCCTTGGCACCTTGCGCCTTCTCTGCAGCCTTGTCAACAGTCTCTTTCGCGCTTTCCTTCACCCCCTGCGCTTTCTCCGACGCCTTATCCGCTGTCTCCTGTGCAGTCGCCTTGGCGCTCTCCTTGGCCCCCTGCGCTTTCTCCGCCACTTTGTTTGCCGTATCCTTCACCACTTGCTTCGCTTCTTCCGTCTTCTCGGACGCCTTGTCAGCCGCTCCCTTCGCGCTTTCCTTCACGCTCTCCTTCGCACCCTGCACTTTCTCAGACGCCTTGTCCGCCGTCTCTTTCGCGGTCTGCTTGACCTTCTCAGCCGTCTCCTTAGCGCTCTCTTTCGCACCCTGAACCTTCTCGGAGGCCTTGTCAGCCGCGCCCTTCGCGCTTTCCTTCACGCTCTCCTTGGCCCCCTGCACCTTCTCGGAAGCCTTATCC